GGGTTTAATTGGACTGAGAGGGGGCGCATCAAACCCCTGAGGTCAAGCTGAACGGATCTGCGAGCCCTTAATTAACCCAAGCACACTGCACAAGATCAGCCCTCTCTCTCTTTCCTCTTTCCTTCCCCCCAACCAGGAGATCTTCAGTCGGCACTTCTTTGTAGCTCTGCCCTCAATTGAAACTGTATTTGGGTCCCAGTAAATCCAGTTCCCTAAAAAGCTAGCACGGCCACTGAAGATCCAAGTAGACACACATCAACTCCACACCCATGAAGCCGGTAATGAGGTTGGAAGTAGGACTCGGGAGGCGGAGAAAGAAAGAGGGAAGCGGAGGAGGATGAAGGGCTGATCGTGAATGAATGATTAAGAAACACTGCTAGCAGTTATCTTGCACTGAGCCATATTAGGACGAGGCGGTTCCTGGTTTCCTTTTCCAGACACATTAAGGAAAGTAGGTGGTAGTATTTCGATGACAGTGGGTCGGCCTCATTGCGAGGCTTCGGGATTATCGCTGTGAGAGTGGAGCTTCACTGTGTATTGCTGTCCGCCACTTAAGTGGCTCTCTGGTGGGTGCAAGTCAAACAAAAAGCATATTCCAGTAGTTTGTTTGTGCTTTGACACTGCGGTGTTTACCCAGCACCTCAGAGGCATGGCAGCGCGCTGTGGGCCGTGGCTCAGATCCATGGTGGTGGACATGGCTGCATACTGGCATCCACGCTGCTGCCCTCTCAACACTGAGTGAGAGGAAGGCGGGAAGTTTACTTAGCCGGCACTATTTCATTTTGAGTCGTGGGAGCGCAGCTCATTTTCCGAGGGAAGCGGCCTTTTCATTACTTACCTTTGTGCCTTTAAATGTCAACGCGCTTTGATGGAGCTGCACAGCCAAAGACAGGACTTTACTTTTCTCGACGCAGATTATAATCTGTACAATCTGTTTGCCAGTCTGTATCTTTGTCTTTGGTTGTTTTGGCAAGGTTGTTTGTCACTGTATTGTTTCGGTGTGTAAATACAAGTATCCTTCTGCCTCTGCTTAGCCATGAAACAAGTTCAAATAAAGAGACTAAAAAGATTGGGAACACCCGTGGAAATGTGTTTGGCTAACTTGCTCAGACTGGATTCTCCCTTGAGAGGTGAGTTGATCCAAAAAATAAAATACGTACTTGCTTTTTGTATCCAGCCATGCAGAATATACTATCCAAAATGTCTTCGATCACTCCCACGAGTTCAGCGGCAACATCTCTATCAAGGAACAATGCCTCGGTAACTCTCTGGGTGAGGACTTCAAAAGCAGAGAGCAGTTCCAAAGAAAACTATTGACACTGAGGTCTTTGGGTTATCCACAGAAAATGGGACATTGTTCCTGGAAAGACACATTGTTGAAGTTTGAGGCCTTGGGGGTTCCTTTGCGGTTGTATTTGGGGGGGGGGGGGGGGGCCTTCCGAAAGTTTGGAAACTAGTTAACAAGTAGTAAAAGCCACGGAAAAACCGTGCAAACGTACAGTCACCGATACTCCAAGATCCAGTTTGAATGAAAACTTGGCCCAAACTACCGGAAAAAAAGGGACCCAAACCTTCTTGGCGACAAACGTAGAATCCTTGTGGCCTTTTAAATATGTGTTCAAAACCACCAGGTTGTGTGAAATGAATTCCAAATTGACACACTGCAAACACCCACATTTGGATTTGGGAGTTTTTTCAAAGATCCTTTTCTTGACCACACCATTTTTTTCTCTCGTTTTGTTTCTTTCTAGAGTATCTGGTTGATGAAAGTACAGCATATCTCCAGAATGCGTTCACAATGGAGCCATAGTCCAATAAAAACGCATTCGCCACGATGTGTGTGTTATTCTGGTAGCCTGGACGAACTTCCACTCTGCACAAAACACAAGGCACTTTTTCTCCTGTTGACTGCGTCCAGTCTCTTTTAAATCAGCAGCGTTGCGTAAGTGAAAGCCACTGATAGAACTGACGTACAGGGCGGTAATGAAGCTAGCAGAGGGTGAAACAAGGTGCATAACTTCTACAAAGTTATTATTTTTCCCAGTAGGTGCACCGGAGCTTTAGGACGAAAACAAATCCATTTGGAAATTTTACTGCTTCGGCTGTGTTCTGCTGCCTGGAGGGTGTCCATGAAAAACCAAGCGATATCTAAGAAATCATTCACGTGTGGTTTTACCTCTTTAGACATAATATTGGCAGTGAACTGTCATACATTTTAAGTATAATCTCCGTCCTCGACAAGCAAAACAAGGTCATCAAGTTTGAAGACTTTTTCTTACCAGCTGCGACAACATGTGGCTGGTATCGTTTTAATCTTGTGAGTTTGAGTGTGTGTGTGTGTGTGTGTGTGTGTGTGTGTGTGTGTGTGTGTGCGTGTGCGTGTGTATGTCATCCTGGCAAAATATGGTCATGGAGACACTATAGCAAGAAGTACCACAGAGGCAGTTTTGAGTACTTTACCAGGTGTTTATATTCATGTCTCTCTGTCTGTGGACAGATGCTATCAATTTGACAGTGTCACAAGTGCAAGATGCAGTTAAGAAACTTTATAGGGGTGTAGATCAAAATGAAAGATGGGTGTGGTTAGAAGGGCGCCGGATGATGGTCTCTATTTTCTTTTGTTTCCTTGAAAAAAACTGGCTTGAAAATAAGGCATATATTCCCCTTGTACTGTCATGCCTTCCATTGGCAGTGTACATTTTATCCGCTGTGAGGTTATTGTCTATTTCTGCTGGGTTTTTTTTTGTTTTTTTGTCTTTGAAATAATTGTTTTCGTTCTGCAGTAATGTCTTGTTTGCTGTGACGCCGGCGTTTTCAAAGCTGGAAGTACTAACATCCAAGCTTTTGTTTACTGGCAATAGTAAAGAATATTCAACACAGTGGCACCAGGCTGCATCAACTGTTTGGTTTAGTAAGTGAGTGGCACACCATCCACATGTACTTGTTGATGAAATGTTTTGCGCCAGTCTCTGAGGAAAGTCACTCCGTGGAAGAAGCGATCTGCCGCGCAGTTTTATGCTCAGCTTTGATTCTGTGTGTGTGTGTGTGTGTGTGTTTTTTTTGTTTTGGCACATCAAAGGCTGCATGTAGACTTCTGTGTAGTCTGGGTCTGTCTCTCAGAGCATGGAGATGAAAGGTTGGGTTACATAAGACTGTAAGACCGAATGGGCTGTTTATGCGTGTGTGCCTGGAGAGTCTCACTGATACTAAGACCTTCTAATGGAGCAGGACTCAGCCATGACCATGGAGGAGCTGCTGCCAACCCATATATATATATATATATATATGGGTTGGCAGCAGCATATATATATATATATATATATATATATATATATATATATATATATATATATATATATATATATATATATATATATATGCTCTATATAATATATACATATATATAGATATATATATATCACACTCGGGACATATATATATAGCTATATGCGAGTGTGTCTCTCTGTTTTTCTTCTAATGTGGTTATTTGAATACATGACAAGCTACACACACCGCTTGACGGAGCTTTAAAGTGACACTATTATTAACCTTATGATAGAAGAATCCAGACCACTCAGAGCAGGAGTCCTTGGGCGACAAATTGGATCATAAGTGAAGAATGTGTTTGTTGAGAACAAATCCTTCACGTTGCGTTGAAATGAAGAATCGTCGGTGTCAAACTGTATGAAAGCCCTTGTGGTGTATGAACAGATGCATGCATCACGGTGTGTTTGAATGTAACCGCCGTTTTGTGGAGCAATTACTAATATTTCAACACAGGATTTAAACTTGCTTTGACTCCTAACTTATAGTGCATGCTTTTCAACGCCACGAAAACCTTCTTTCAAAATGTTTCTTTCTCAGTCGACTTCCTACTGCGACCGATCAATACACACCGACACATACCGCTACTTTTTTATAAATGTAAAAACTACTACAAAGGTGCACTCGGTAGAGTGCAAACTCCACCGGGTGTGTCCACGACGGCCACTGATGTAATGCTTGATTGAATGAACAAAACGCACAATTAGCCAACACATTCCATTTACAGAGGCTATTGAGTCGCTGCAACCGCGACAGGTCCTCGAGCATTCATGAGCGCCTCAAATATGTTGCTGTTAAAAGAAGCAGTAGGCGAGCTTAGCCGTGGACACACAGCGACAGATACACACACATTCACGCAAACACGAGACTGATCTCATTATCTCCTGGCAGAGGTGGTTTTAAGGCAGGCGGAACAATTTGATTAGAACTATGCAGCACTGTTGAAAAAAGCACCACTAAAAAACACAGTTCTGTCCAGACAGGCACCCAAAACCCAATGTTTCCTCTCACAGCATGACACAACTCGCTGACCTCCTCCTCCACACAGTGGATTACTCCCGAATTAACAATTTGGGCCTTTATGCTGAGCCGCTTGCCTCAGTGTGCGTCAAGCAGCAATTTGTCCCAGCGACATCCAGGGTTTCTCGTGCATTCTCAGTCCTGCGGCAGAACGCCCAAACAGAGGCAGGGGTCCGGGAGGGGGGGGGGGGGGGCGTAATGTTGGCTCTCGTTTTGTTCTGCAACGTGTTCACCAGGAATCAGTGACGGCGCTGCGCTCCTGCATTCGGTGACTCCCAAGAAAGTGGGAAGCGGCTTTACGAGGCCTGTGGAAGGACACAGAGGCCGGTAATTAGACAGCGCAAAGCATTTCAGCCCCCTCCCGGGCCCTCGGGCGGAGAATAGGAGCTAAAGTGAACCGAACCGGACTGCGAAATTACGTTAGACGTCTGCGCTTAATGGGAAGTGAAAAAATAGTAATACATTTGTTAGCGTTTCCATTCCCCCCCCACGCTTCTATGACTCCTTGCATCGCCATTCCTGCTCCTCCTCTTTTTCGTTACAGCGCAGTAAATCTCAATTATGGTGTTGCCTTTGTGCAGAAGTTCTGTTGCAGGACGATAACAGGAACAGGATGTTGATGACTGTGGTTTGAACATGTGTCTCTTTTCCCACAGATGCTCCCCCGTTCGGAGTGGGACTACAAGAGAGGCTCCCGAGGATCACAGGTTAGCACTGTCCACACAAAAAGAGACACACAAGTAATAACAATAATCTTTAAAGAGCTGAATAGAAAACACACACAGAAACTAGTTCCCTGAACTCTGTTACTCGCCTACACGCACCTTATAAATGACGCAAATAGCAAAAATGCCACCACTAACAGGCCTGTTCACCCACTCGTTGCAACTCTGGTTAAACAGCATGTCCAGAGGTGTCACTTCCCACCAGAGTCCTTGTTGTACTCTTTTAGTCTAAATGACGCTGGTCAGCAATTTAGCTGGAAGGTACAACACAAGCCATTAAAGGCCAGGGGATTGTAACAAGAGGGACTCGGGTGCCACAGCTCTTAGAGGGCAGACACACACAAACACAACCTTGGGATCACCTCTCCCATCTTTTTGGCGGCGGGGGAGGATGGGTTTAAATGTTCGGGGATTGGTGACATTGAGGGACCACCGTGCGAAGCTGTGGAGTACATGAACAAACATTGGCCTTGGTGTTGACAAGGTCACCTACAGTATGTTCTGCTATCAGGAGGATATCCTTCAAAAATGAATGGACAATGCGTCCATGATGACACTTTATGCTGGGGTAGCAATAAAAAGTTGCGGTTGGGGGGGGTTGGGACGTCTTGCATGAATAGCGAGCATGATGCAGCGCGGGATTAGGGTTTGAAATCAAATGACACGCTGTAATTTCCTAGAGATGCTAAGATTCCTATAGTGGTATATCTGGTCCAAAATCAGTCTCACAGTATTATCCTCTTTGAGTGGAGACACATTCAAATAACATGTTACCCCTTTTGAAATATTGTCGAAGCCTCATATCAATTTGTTATATGGGGTTAGTGCTGTAGGCAAGCACATATTTTTTGATTGATGAATTCCCTAAGCTGCCATTTAGACTCAGTGGTCAGGTCAGTCTTTTTTTTGGTGGTGGTGGGTGCAACGTGTTTGCCAATGAAATTCTGTAATACTCCAGAGACTTGACAAAAAGACGTGCAAGAAGTGGAGGCTTGTGTTGGCATCTCTCTCCATCTCCATTTTTTCCCCCCTTGGCCTTGCTCTCTTGGACCAGGTTGCTGGTCAGAGAGGCTGGTGGCGCTTGACTACGCCAGGGCACCTCTAGAGTGTGTAAATTACACACTGCGCTCTTTAGCTGGTGACCAGAGCGTTTGATTGATCTCCACCTTCTTGTCGTGGCCAACATGCACACATTAGCAAGCTCATTTTCCAAACCACATCACCTACCCGTCCAAAGCATGCGGTGGATGTTTTCGCCTAGGAATTGACATTGAAGTTATGTATGGAAAGAGCTATTTAAATATTTGTATTCGAATTGAAAACACATTGGTTTTGGAACATAACCCTGGGAGATTATCGAAGAAAAGGATGTCTGTAGGCCCCGGATCTTGTGTTATTCTAAATTACAAAAAGGCTGGGAAAGTGGTCTGTGAGGCAGACAAGCCATGACATTGCAGTCACGCTGAAGATTTATCAAAATCCCTTTGAGCACTTCAAACACTTGAGACCGGCGTTTCTTAAACTGCAGGTTTTTCGAGTTGTTAAAGGTCACTGCCCTCCTTCTGGTTTGCCCCAACATGACAGTCCAGTAGAGTTTTTTCTCATTAAATCTGGTCGTGTGGCAAGTTTAAGGATGAAAGAGATTAAACATTCAACTACCTGAGCTGGTGACCTGCGCTTTTTATGACGTGCGACAGTAAAACACCGCCGAGCTGGTGCTCAGGGAGAAAGTGATGAATGGAATGACATTATGAGATGGTTTTATGTATAGCATGCCTTTTGAGTTACCAATATTTTTCTGAAACATGTGACTGTGTCCACTGCAGTGCTGATGAAGGTTTTATGTTTGTATCATGGCAAATCCTCTCTCAGTATAAGCAATCTGTTCTACGTTTGCTGTCCTTTGTGCAGGTGTTTCTCGCTTGCTTCCACTTTTGATGGTCTGTTTTGTGTGTCTCTCAAAATGCAGTTTTGGCTGCAGGAGCTCAGGCAAGCAGCAAAGAGTGTCTCAGTGGAGTTTCCTTACCCTGCTGCTGTGACTCACACTGTATCACTGCTCCGTTCATTCAAGTAAAGGACATCACCAACTCCCAGGATCCATCTGAAAAGATTTTTAGTCACGGCCATTGCTGCACTGACACCGAAACAGAAAAATGTATAGTTCCAGTTAGTTTTTTTTTTACACAGAGATTTCTGTGTAAATGAAATCTACCTAAGAAAAAATATTGAATGCTTTTAAAGATTTTGTATTTAATATATTCCCCAGCTTCTTACGCAGCAAATCCTTGTATTTTGAAAAATATGCACGAGAGTGCAAACAAGCACCACAATGTGTGTATCTGTGTGCTTTATGACGATCCAGAGTTGCTTACATTATTGAATTGTGTTTCAGAGAGGATTAGATAGCTTTCGCTCGGTGGCCATTGTCCAGATTCTATCTCTCCTGGGGGGGGGGGGTGGGGTGGGGGTAGAGGGATGGATGTTTAGATGAGGGAGCCAGGGGGTTAAAAGCATATTAAGTGGGCCGTCGCAGAAATTGCAAAAATGCGACCTTTCTGACTGTGTGCGCCATTAATAATAATTAGACAAAAGGATCACTGTTTTATTCGTTGCATCCGACGCACTTCATCTGTCTTCTGCAGATATTGGCAAAATCCTGTGGATGCAGTCGAAACATCTGCAGTGATATTTCAAACGCTCACTGCAGCTGTTAGTGTCCACGGGGTTGATTATAACGTGTGATGTTTCACAAGAATTTGTTTTTCTATTTGTGAATACACACCTAAAGTTTAAATATTGTCGATGCATGCTTGCATACCAGCAATTAGCTGTATTAGTTTGGATGTTTTAATGTATATTTTCATAACACAGCTGAGGTTTGAGTTATTTATTACTTAAAAGCTTTAAATGGCTCATTTGGTCAATCTTTGGTGCAAATGTAGTGTAGTGTAGTGTCTCGAGGAGTACGGAGGACGGAGGAGCTGTTTAGACAAACAGCTTCTCACTCTTCAGGCGTGATTGCTGGTTTGTTTTGACTGGCCCGTGGATTGGTTTACATGAACCGCTGCGCGAGTGTTAATCTATGGCATGTCTATTGAGCAAGTGTTCCAAACTGTGCTGCAGACTTATACACTGTATATCATAGCAGCATGTCCATGCATGGCTTGGTATACAGCTTGGCTCCATTGAAGAATCATATAAACGATCTGTTAATGCTGGTAGTCACATTTACCGAATGTAGCATTTCAACAAATATTATACCAATTTGTGGTTAAATTGTGGTTTGAATTTGGGACCAGATCAGTGGGTGTGTGTAGAGCCCCGGCTCTGGAAACAGACTTTGTTTAAATCACCATGCCTCCTGCTAGTTAAATGCAAACAATTGGCAAAATGCAAACGTGGGAGAATCCACATCTTATTTTACTTTAATTGGAATTAATATTTTTTGTTATGGCTTGAGCAATGTATTTATCTGCTATGACTACACACCTTCTGGAATTTACGCTGCAAGGGAATGTACCTGAAAAGACCTATATTAATACTTTTTGCCAACTGTACATAGCTAATGATAGTTTCTACGTCAAATAAAAAGTGCTTTTCATTTCGTTGTCCATTTTGGGCTACTGTAGAAACATGCTTGTGCAACACGGCGGACTCTATGATAAATCCCCGCTCCCAATTACACATGAAGGGCTCATCGTAGCTTTAGAAAATCTTTGTTTCAGGGGATCATGCACTAATAAAAACTACTAACAAAATTCTTATAAAAATGATCTTGCATTACTTACACTGGGACTTTAATCCAAAATGTATTTATTGCCCCTTCAAAGTAATCATGTACAAGTTTTGCGAAACATTTTCATGGCCGGGAAGCATGCGAATGTTTACCCACATGTTTATATGTATGATCATGTATTTCTTCTCTATCATTTCTACTAGTTAATCCTAAATGTCCTCTTCTCTCCGGCGTTCTGGATCGCTGATTAACTCTGAAGGGTCTATTTTGTAGAGAGCAGAAAGTTGGGGTCATTGTTGTTGACAATGTGTGTTACTATGAATGTGGTGTATGGCTGCAGTAGAGGGGAAGGTATGCTTACAGAAATATAGAGATTTAATATATTAAGAATATCTTAAAAATGATTGATTTTAATTACTGTGGAGTTTGGGCACGCTGCAGATGGGACCGAGGAAAGAACACCGTGGTGCCATTAGAAAAATGTTCCGAATTTTGAAATGCTCAATCATAACATCTGTTCAAAAGCTTTTTCTATGATACTCAAAGTGCTGTTTCCCCAAACAGTGGAGTTTATATGAGATCTATGCTTACACAAGTGAAGCCGCTACAGAGGAAACTGATCATCTAACCTGACAGGAAGTGCTTATATAACCTTACGTAACATACTCACAATTTTGTCTGTTAAAGAACGTCCATTGATGATTCTTAAGTTTTAGTTTGAAGATCAGGATTTATCTTCGAGCCAAAACCAAGTTTCCCCGGGGATGGTCGGGACTTTACATTCTCAATCTTTGCCTGCTATCGGCTTCGTTTTGTAGCTCAAAGCTCTTGCTCCTCCTGTCTTTAGATAGCTTTAGATGGCGGGTGGGAGGTTAATGGAAGACATACAAGGTTTTTTTGACAGCATGTCCTTTCAAATTAAGGGAGATCTTGTCTTTTCTTTGTAGCAGAATAGGTACCGCCATTGTTTCAGGTCAATAAGAACAAGAAACTCAGTTGAAGCAACCCACTGGGTCCCCAAATCTGAAATGCTACTCATGCACCTGGAGCCTTTCCCATACTTTATTTTAAATCAGACCACTCACATTCATTCTTCCCTCCTCTTTTATGGCCAATTTGGTCCAGTTTCCTAGGAAGTCAAGCTTAGTGACACAGCGTGATGCAAACACGTGTGTCGGTGCTGCATGCTCAGGATGATGCCATTTCCTTTACATGTTTGTCCGTCAGTCTGTTTTTTTACAGAACCTTTGTGTTGACTGTGGTCTTAGCACTATGGGTTAAGTTTTCTAGAACTTTCAGAAGTTGTTTGTGTGTGCGTGGTTGGAGATGCTCTGACCAGACAGATGTTCTCCAGCAGCTATGAGCCTATTCTGCTTAAACCCTCTCTCAAGCAAACTCCTAAATCCGCCTGTAAATGAGCTGTGAGACATGTGTTTACATCTCATGCTCGCAGCATGCATTAAAGCAGAATCTGGGAGATAAGAGAGGGAGGAGGAGAAGAAGGCAAGTGGACGGAAGTGCAGGGATCAGGGGGGGGGGGGGGCACAATAGTCTTCTGTGTAGAAACGCTCCATATCCTTGTCTTTAAAGGGGATTAGCTTGGTCCCACTGCTGAACGTGTGTGAGATTATCGATAAATGTGTGTTAATACCAGGGTGGCCATTCGTCCGGGTTTTTAATGCCCCGTCCGGCTGCAGACGCAGCCTTGCGGAACACTGGTTGGTCCTCTTTGGAGAAAATTACTTAAACCGGTAAAGGGTAAGGGTAAAAATAAGGTAATGGCCATTGGTTACATTTTCGTGTAGTTTATTTTTTACGAACCGGTCGGTAATTTCTTCCCCCCCCCCCGTCAACAAATGACTGAAAGAAAGATGCATTCGTTTATCTTACCACCCCCCCCCCCCCCTTCCCCCCATCACTAGTGGTCCTCCTTTTTGACGTGAAGGAAATGGCCACCCAAGTCATTACACATGTGGAGGAATGACCTCACACCCACTCAACACATGGCTTTTGTTCTTTGGCAGACTATTATAAAGAAGTGTATGAATACAGTGACTTATCTGATATGACCCACAAGAGGAGGCGAATGAAAGGTGTTCACACAGTTGTTCAGGTCAACCTCTTCCCACTTAGCCAGTGTAAACAGTATAATTCAGGGTGCCTGGCAGCAAGTGTCAAAGTGAAAGCGACATCGAGGGAGAAAAATCTGATAACATTCTTTGGAGAAAAAGGGAACTTGTGAGAGCATATTTGTCGGCAGCCAAGACCCAACCTGTGTTTAGTCGGTGTTGTTCAGCAGCTTTAGGCGCAGCAATCGAGAGTGGGCCGGGAACTTTTCACTTTTCACCCGGCGAAAAAACAGGGCCTGCTTTAAACTACGCCGGTGCCTTCAAAGCACGGAGCAGACATTTGGAAACAGACAAGGGCTGTTGGCCATCTCAGGGGTCGAGAGTGAGAAAGTCAGAGGTCAAATTCTAGCTGAGACGTCGCTAACGAGTCCATTCATTAAGCTTCAAGTACAGCGCAGCTGTGCGGAACATGGTTAACCTCATGTGGCTGTTTACACGCCTGGAAGGTCGGAAAGTACGTCAAGTCCTACAGCTGTGAGTGCCACTCCCTGCTCCTCCTCCTCCTCCTCACATTCTGTTTTCCTCTGAGCGGAAAGCAGCCATATAAGGTGTAGATTAAAGCCCTTAGTATGTGAGTAGAGCTTATGGTAACACAATTTAAATACACTATATACATTTGGTCGAATATGTCTCCTACAATAGTGGTTGAAACTAAATTGTTGAATGTTTTCAAACTTCCGCATTGTTGTGTTTGGGAATTGTACAGGTATCATTTGGGCCATGATGGTTTTACCTGAGCTTTTTGAGATAATTGAGATGCAGTCTGGTTATGGCTGTGCTCACTATCTTTGTCCTCTTATTATGTATTTTCAATAGACTTGGGACAAAGCTGAATGTTCATTTTACTGCTGGACAATAGGCTTCCCCAGACAATTTTATGAATACAGTCTGTAATAGTTTTCAAATTAGTCTTTGTTATATCAGCGGGAGCTCCTGCTGTGATGGAATATTTATAGAAAGACCACTGGTGAAAGAAGTATTCAGATCCTTTATTACGTAAGGTCAGCAATACAGCAATGTAATTATAATCCATGACACCTTCTGCCCTCAAAAAGTTATATGATGAAATAAATGTTAGAATTGTCACCAAAATGTACAATATCAATCGTTCATTGCATAACATGATATACCATCATTATTATTACTGATGCATACATATCATGGAAATTAAAAGAGTAACTTAATAGCTGGCTAAAGAGCTGTGTTAGTGTGTATATTTAACCACAGTTAGCGTTACTAATCGGTGCAGTTGTGTTTTGTTCAAAGTGGGCTCTATTGCACTTGTAATTTTGTCGAAAAAGGACATTCCTGGAGTATACATCCATCTCACTGCAGCAGTATGAAAACGTTGAACCGCTTAGCCACAGCAGAAGTAACGTTTATTGAATTCTTCATTTGTCTCCCTTTCACCCCACAGTCATCAGGCACCACTGTCATGGTGGACATAGCAGTGATGGGAGAAGCCCACGGACTGATCACAGACCTGCTGGCTGACCCCTCCCTGCCCCCCAACACCTGCACCTCGCTGCGGGCTGTGAGCAACCTGCTAACCACCCAGCTCACCTTCCAGTCGTTGCACCGCCCGCGCCCCGCTTCGCTGCTTAACCCCGGGGACGCCTACACCTTCTCCGACTCGGAGGAGGGACCAGAGAAAGGAGAGAAGACATCCATCCATAAGGTGAGGATATGAACAACGTCACGTGTCGTGATTTACCCTTTATTTGCAGCAGCAGGAAGTCTGGCTGTAACCGAGGAGATTAGTAATAATGAGATAATGTAAGTGCGGTCCGCTTTATTAGGGCCAAATGATTTATACGCCACACAGCGCTCCACACATGTTAATCTTTCAGCCCGTGTTTCGGCTAATGAGTGTTTCCTGCTCTCAGAGCTTTTAGCATCGGATGAAGGAGCATATTTTCATAGAGTTGAGTGAAGAAAAATAGAGCGTGTCTACTGCTCCGAGCACTGTTCTCCCTTTCATAGCCACAGCTGTGTCAACATGACAGATGTGCAAAGCCAGACAGTGTGTGTGTGTGTGTATATATATGTAGTCAAGAAAGGGGAAAGGCAACATGAAGGGGAACGCATCTCTCAAAAGGTTACAAAGAGGGACGTCAGTGTGTCAGCAAAGCCGGACTCCACAACACAATCACAGATCCAGTTGTTTATCTTTGGAATATCCCTTTCCAGGCTTTCGTGTGCTAAACGGCTGCCAGGCCATGCAGCCAGTCTCTTAGCTGACAGGTGTGTCTTTGTTTAGTTTTTTTTTTTACGGTGTCTGAATTTTGTAAAAGAAGCTATAATAAATCGTGTCCGTGCAGCAGCCGCTGAGGCAGCCGTCGTTAAGCCTGTGCTCCCCAGAGATGACGTGCAGCCTCCGACTGCCCAGGAGGAGAATAGCAGGAGGAGTGAAGGTGGTTAATGCAGGAAAGCCCTGCATCTGCTTTTCTGCCCCCTGGCTTAGGGTTCGATGTCCATCGCTGATGCTTTCAAGCAATTTTCCAAAACCTCTATTCTGTGTTCTCTATGCTGCAAAAAAAATAAGAATCACATAATGTAGATAAAATGGTGTGGGATTTATTTATATGTTTTGTTATATTTACACGTATTTGTTGTATAAACTGTAAAGATGTTTAACGTACATAACTTTTATTGTCACAGCATTACACACAGGATGTTATGGGGAAGCCTGGTATATGTATTTAAAATAAGTGAATAGGTGTATCAGTGCTGTCTATGTGTGTACATACAGTATATAATACGCTGATTCGGCATTGCTCTTTTTTAGGTTTGTGGCTGTGTGTTTTGCGTGTGTTTTGCGTGTGTTTTGCGTGTGTATGCATCAGCCTTCACAAATTGGTTATTCTGCAACTGAAATCAGCACATGCAAAAAACAGTACTGCTCTTGAAAAACGGTGGGTTTGAGAGTGTGTGTGTGTGTGTGTGTGTGTGTGTGTGTGTGTGAGCTTACACTAAATGACGCCTCGCTGTGAATGGGCTCATTCAGGATTCTTAGGTGATCTTTTTTACTTGGTCGACCTGCAGGAGACTGAGAGAGAGTCAGCCTGCCATGTTTAACGCTGCTTTGCAAAGCTGCAGCATAGCACCAAACAGATGGAGGCACCACAAAAGCAGAGACCACTGGGAATCCCAGAGAGAGATTAGCGAAAGACACAAAAGGGACATACTGAGAGAATAAGCAGAGAGGCAGAATCCCTCTGATGAAATGTGTCTGTGCAATGCAATACTGACACTGTATTTAAAATGTTACCCTGAGGGGCGTCATTGCCACAGCTGCCGGCCAAAAACCGTCCATGAAAGATTTTCCTCTTCCAGGTGCAGCATTTGTTCAATCTTAAACAAACCATCATAATTCTCATTATGATAGTTTGACCGGAGGCGGAGCAAATAAGCATAAACTTTATACCGCAGGAGGTAGTAGTTTAAGAGCCAACACAATTACAGCCATGTTCTCTTGTTTTGACTTTGTTGATTAATGGAAAAAGAGGCTGGGAAGGGTTTATCTTTAGTGTTAACAGTGCGTGTGTGTTTGTGTGTGTGAATGTTTCCCTGTGTGTGTACAGCGCCTGAGGCGGAGTCTCCCCCCGGCTCTTCTGCGAAGGATCTCGTCCACGTGGACCACTACCACCTCTGCCACGGGCCTGCCTACCATCGAGCCTGGGCCTGTCCGAAGGGACCGCAGCGCCAGCATCAAACCTTTCCATGAAGCACTCACCTGCAGGTACCTACAGCTGATGTCTCATTCTTCTGTCAGCATCCAGCTCCAGTCGCAAATTTAGATGACGTTTTTCCTCCTGTAACATGTTTGCCTCCCTGTGACAGCTAAATGGGGGAAAAGGAACACATAGTTTGTATTTCAGTGTACTAATTGGGTCCTACTGTGCAACATGCTACCATAGTTGCACTCAACTATTAGGCAAATGCTTTTAGGAGGACTCCTACAATGGATGATACATCACTCTGAGGGTTTAGAGGTTTATTCCCAGCGTGGCTGTAGTTATACCAAAGACAGCTTGAGTGAACAGTAATGGCGCAGCAGTACGGAAGAGGATGTGTGTGCATGGGAGCCAGAATGGAAATATGCCTCACAGGCGAACGCATTAACCTGAATAACTAAGACACACAAAAGCCCTCTGCACGCTGTGCTGGAGATAGCATGAGACACAGGCTTCATGAAAGTATCATGGAGCAGAACGTATTCATAATCATAAATCAGTACAACAAAATGTAAAAACATATATATATATATGTATATATATTTGCAATTATCATTATCAATATATATTGGTGTCTTACAATAATAATCCTAACACGCTGTAAACCATCTAGTCAGATGCTCACTCACTGACTGATTTTCTTTACTCGTCCTCAGTTCACAGAGTATTATAACACTACACAACTCTTGTTGTAATACATATTAATATGTTGTACAATGCATTATGATCCCTGGTATAAGGCAATCTAATGTGATCATGACTTAGTCAAACTGTAGTAACTCTTTTTTCAAGTAAAGTAAAACTATATTTCACTATATATACATTATATACAGTATATGGTTATTGTGGAGTACAGAGGAAGGATATGTGTAAGCATTGATCAGTGTTTGTGTGCATTCAGGGGTTTGTGCGTGCATGAACGCATGTATTTTCAGACTTGGGTTTATGCTTGGTTGCATTTGTTTTTTCGTGTAAGCTGTTGAAAAAAAATGTGGCCCGGTTGTTCCATCGTGTTCAGACTCGGCGAGTACAGGTGCAGTGAATCGGCAGGAATGTCAAGACCCGACGGATCCATATTGTTGGAAACACAAACAACAACAAATAGCTAATTAAAGCTATTTCATGTTTAGCTTGTAAATCTCATCGATGCATTGAAACTACAATAAACACAATTTCCGAGAGTAGTTCTGATTACGAAGTCAAACATTTCAGCATCATTTAATTTGATCAGTGCAGAGATTGCATTCCTTAAAATTACTTTGTGATTACTGTGACGTTCTGTTTGGACTGAGCGGCTCATGTTTTTTTTTATAGAATTTCAAAAGGATACACAATGTTTTTATATGAGGTTGATGCACAAGCGGTACCAGACAGCACATGCTCTGTCTTTAAAACATTAAGTATCCCTCCACAGGATATAGTCTCTTCGTTTTTCATCTATGTTTATCAGTTCCTCCCCTGTGGACTTTGTGTCACAGGCATGAAAGTCCTCAGATGAAGATCCGCGTTGGTCTGTAAATACAGACGCTCCTGGGCGTCTCTGTGCTGCCAAGCAGCACCATGGATGCTTGTCGCATGCCAAATACTGGGACAGTTTATTTAGTGCATGGTGTAGGTTTGTGTGCATGTGTGTATGTGTTGTTGGAGTTGGTTTGTTTCATTTTCAAATTTTGCAAAATAACTTTTGTCAGCTCTTTTAAAGTGAAGCTAGAGCTCTATTATTCATGTGAAAAGAACTTCAGAAGGACACGTCTGATGCCTCACTCAAAGCAACTGCTTGGATTCAAACAAACAAAAACAAAACAGTTTCAAATACAATTTAGTGTTGTTCAATTGTATTTGTTTGGAAGTGTATGTGCAGACATACAGAACACCAATATATGAATATTTCAGTCTTATAAATTAAGATTTATACATAAAACCTGTGAATTTCAGAAAGAATACATCTTGCAACCTTATATGTCATCAAAATGTCTTCACTGCAAGATTTAAATGCGCTCACTCATACACATTCTGTACTAGTTAGTGAACCTTTAGTTTAAATCTAAGTCACTGTTGTAAAATTAAGCAATACTCAGCATGGTCTATTTCCCATCTACAGATTCTTTGTAAATTAGAAACACAAATTTGTCCAATCAACAACCTCCACTGGCTCCCAGTAAAATATAGAGTAGATTTAAAAATATTACTCATCACCTACAAAGCCCTAAACAACCTGGCCCCTACCTACCTCTCAGCGCTCCTCCCTCCCCCCAACCCGTTGCCTCAGGTCCGCTAATGCTAATACCCTGAAAACCATCAGGACCAAGCGCCGGACCAGGGGCGACGAGCCTTCTCAGCTGCTGCACCTCCCCTCTGGAACGCCCTCCACATCTGAATCCGCCAGGCTCCCCCAATATCATCATTCAAACAAGCCCTCAAAATCCACCTGCTCAAAGTCGCTTTCAAATGCTAAAACCTACATGACTCATTCTACTGTTTTCTCAAGTTCAATTCTTCTCATAATTTATTTTCTATTTCTTTTTTATTATTTCTGTCTTCCTCTTATCCGTACGTTTCCTAAGTATTATTATTATTATTATTATTATTATTATAAGGAGGACTCTGGCTCATACTCCCTCATGTACATTTGCAGAGCTAAATGCACACTTATTTTACTGACTCATTACTGACTCAAATAGTCCAGTTGATTCATCCGGCTGAAGAGGCCGGTCTACCATCGGTTTACTCGTGCAAAGTATTCTGTCCTTTGGAGAAACAGTCTAAGCTTTCTAAATGTCCCAGCAATCTTTTTCCTGACCATTAAGAAAGCAAATTACTTTCCTGATATGTTTCTCTGTATTTAGAAAAACATTGTATTTGTAGAAATGCTCTAGAAAAAACTCTCAATAACACAATAATAATGTTGAAGTGAAGATACGCAGCCACAAATTTTAGGAAATAAAACCAGTAATTGCATATTACACATAAAAGGTGGCATATGTACAATTAAGACCATAATGTTAAACTGCCATAATAGAACAAATGAATTCATTTAAGATCCAACCTTAAACCTTCCGTCATTTGATTGTTTTTTTTAATCTGCACACTGTTTTGTCTTGCCCTCCAAAAGAGATTTGCACGGTGACAGTGCGGTACTTGAAGAAGTTCTCTCAATGTAAGCACACTGAGCAGCTTCTGTACACAAAGCCCTGTCGTCTGGTCTTAAATCCCCGCAGCAGGCCCCAGCTATGGCCACTTATGGTGGTGTGAGCATAAACAAACACCTGGGCCTCTCCCCAGTCACCGCAACCTCACAATTAACACCTATACACACACACGCACACTTGCACGTTTGACACACTGTCACAGCTGCTAATCCTGGCAGTGGTTTTACAGACACAATCGGAGTGAATAAAGAGTCACTGGGTTTAGTTCACTAACACTTCATTTACATTTTGGCTCTATTACAGGTGCCTAAAATGAAAAAGAGAGCTGGTTAAAGCTTCCGTGACGAGCTAAACCTAAACACGAGCAGCGCCTCCCGACATCCACTTGAAGGATTTTGGGGGTTTAATGCTGCGATGGCTCATGAGCAGTCGACAACTTGTCAACACATTGTCTTTGTCAAGTGGGGTTTAACATAACACGTTGTGGGAAGTAGTATTGGGTGTGTTTTTTGGTCTGTATTTGTTATGGTGCCTTTTGAGAGCCGGCCAACACCCTTTAACATCTGAATTTAATCACAAATCAAACAAACCACCAAAAATAATTTCTGATGAGTCCCATCGAAAGAGGCAGAAATGTTTGGCTGAAGGCGAGCGAGAACACACGGAGGGGAGAAAACAAGCACATGGCTTCAATTGGCTTCTGCCTGCTCCATCATCAAATCTGTACAATCTTAATTAGGACATTAGGTTTTGTTATTTTTTTCTCCCTCCTGTTTCCACCGTGTCAGCTTTCAGTGACGCACGTTGTTAAGACGAAATAACACCAACTTCAAAGCTACAATATCGTCTTTTTCTATCACGCCGACCCGGTAAAAAGGGGCCGATTGAATCCCCCCTCCGTTCCTCTGAGCCCCCGGCCAGAGAGCTGTTATCTTCTTCACGTCATCTGGCTTGAGAGTAGGTGGATTAATGAAAGCAGGAATAATGGCGGCCGTGTTTATCCTGGCCTGGACACTCTCCGTTTGGGCTCTGAACCAAAGGTAATCCGTCAACCCGCTGTGAGTGGTTGAGTGAAATCTTGAAGTAAAGTGTATAGTGGAGCGGGCAGAGGCCAGTCACAGCTTATTGCATGGCTCCGAACTGCTCAGATAAGCAACGCGGAAAATGCATACAACGTTGCAATTCATTCAGTATTTTCGATTGCGGAATGATTAACTCAATGAAGGTTCTCTATTCAGGAGGAGGCTCAGGTGCTTTTGTGTGACAACAGGAGGTATTTTCTGCTTGAGAGAAAAACTTACAACATACAATTCACCTTGGCTTTGTTAGATTTTGCTACAATTATGCCTGAGGCAAGAAACCAATTTTCATCTTGTATGTCCTACACGCAATGTTTATGTACTGCAAATTGTCTACGACAAAACAGGATGCAGTTTGTTTCATTGACCGGACAAACAAATTTGCAGACTGCAGTTACATTCTTCCAAAAATTAATCTGGCAAAATAAATGATTTTCTTTCAGACGCGGTTGAAACACAAACAAGGGTTAAGTGTATTTTGTCTGTACATAATTGACAGTTAAATTACTATAACTACTGTGCTAGCAATTGTAACTGCTCTTGAGGAGATTTTCTGTGATAAAAGCCGAGTCACTCGATGCATGACTGACAGATCCCACGAGTGGAGGCGGCCGCCTTCCTTATTTACATTCCGAGCCAAAGGCTCAATGTCACTCGCTGAGGTTATTCTGCTGCATTAGCAGAATAGGAAGACTGTCTGCCAGTTCTTCAACTTTCATTAAAAGTAAACCTTTTAAGCCAAGCACTGCTGCCTGCCCAGACCCCCATGACAATAATGTACGGACTGTTCGCTCGCCAAAGTGTCAAACTATTTTATATCCCACACCTGCAAGGCATTACACCCAGTGGTCCGACCTGGCCATGCGGACACGACAGAACTGCCTTTGTTGGGGCCTCCGGGCCATTGGGCCGGGTGGACACAGCTCAAACGAAACAATTTATCAGAAGGAGATAGGCACACTATGGGACCTTGTGCTCCCTGTGACACTGGGCTCTAACAGCAAGCATTTCCTTCCCCAAAGAGGCAGCTTTTACAACATTTGGAGAGAGGTATTTTAATTGGAAACACCTACATGGTGTGAGATTCATGTAATGGTAAAACATGTTGTAACACTTGTCTTGTGCTAAACCCGGGTCTCAAGTGTCTCTATTTGACCGTCATGGGCAAAGACAGAAAGATTTAAGGTTTGCAGCTGGGTCTGAAGAAGGGAGTTAACTTTGTCTCACAGACGCTCGAACAAAAGAGCAGTGTGTGTTACCATCATCTTCACCTGGGTTCTTATCTCAACTTGATTTGTAGCTTCTCGTAACTGGCCTTGTGGATGGTCTTCATGTGTATAAAAACTCTGCTTTACGCCATTACACCGGGCGCTGAGATACGTGCTTGTGTGTTTGACCTCCTGCTGGCAAGCAATAGTTAGAGCCAGATATCTGCGGAGAATAGCTCATGTAATCTTTTTCTCTTCTAACTTTTTGACTTTAATTGATCAACGTGCTGGATCCTTCTCATCAACCAACTCGGGGGGGGATTGGAGATCCCGACAATGGACAGCTTGACAGCGGCTCCAGTGGGGAAATGGGGAAAAGCTGTTGAGAGTAGCTCGAGTGGCTAACTCTGATTTGTTGTAAAGCTCAAAGAGGGTGGGCACAATTTTGAATGAGTCATTTATTAATGTGGCCGTACCAGCAACTGTTTCCAATTAGTTTGGCTGTTTATTCTCGTTACATTGTGTTAATGTGCGCATTCAATAAAATCATTAATGAGTATTCTTCTTGGAGCGTTCGTACAACGTCTGTTTCATGTTGGGACAGCACAGTAGGAAACCCCTTAAAAAATGTTTCTTGACAACTTCTGTCGACCGGTTAGACAATCAAAGACAGATGTGGTGAATGGCCTTATTCCCACTTCTTTGGCGCAGCTACGGACAGCCAAGGCTTGCACTCTCCACAAACATATGGAGGACCGGCCTGCGTTTGACCCCTAATGTTTTCTATTCTAACATTTTCTGTAGATTTGGGTTTTTACGAGTTCTCATAGCCACAACCAATTGTCGAATCCATTTCCTCTCAACCTATTAAGACTACATTGCTGGTTATAACGTTTGATTTGCAGATGTGTTGATGCACATTTGGATGCAATATGTATTTAAAGAAGATACATTGTTCTATATTTGCTACTATTACAAGTTTGCATTTAGGTTAAACGTGTTCTTATTTAAAAACACTGATATTGATTAATTATATACAGTAGTCAAAGACGCAACACAGCATCTTTGCTGCATCTTTGCGGCAAAGATGCTACAAAGACCACTGAATTACAACATTTTCCTTTCATGCACTTTATCTCTGAACTGTTAAACGCCTCTTGTCTACAGCTGTGGGAGACCATACATCAAACTGAGCCATGGGGAGGGTTCTATAGACAAGGGAGACAGGATACCACGGTCAGGTATGCTCTCAGTCTTCTTCCCCCTTTTCACTACCACCACTACCTGTGAGCTGCAACGTAGCCACACAGACCGCCGGCACCCATTACAACGTGCTAAAAGATTTACAGTAAACAAATGCATGGTCCAAACTACTGCATCAAACCCTCAAGATCAACTACCATCCCGTCTCTGGGAGTTTCGAGAATTGCCGATAAATATCTGGCTTCAACAAAGTGGTAAAACCTGAGAGGTAAATCCAAATCCTCCAAAAGGCCCGATGGTATCCATCAGTTTCCTCTGGCCTGCAGTGTGACATCTCTTTGTTTTTTTCTTTTACTAGCAGAGGATCAAGCAGTGGTGTCATCAGACTACGAGAGCACCCACGAAGCCAACCACAGTGACAGCAGTGATGTAGCACACACAGAGGAGGACACAGAGGAAGGAAAGAATCCTGGCCAGAATGTCATCCTCCACCCACTAATACCTCCTGAGGTGAGGCGATAGAACAATACGACTGTTAATAAAACACAAGAAAGCTGGAATCCCATATCGTCATATTGGGAGAATCAACGTTTTATCTTTTTGTCTCACTACTTTTCATCACTTGTCACAGGACCAACCAATTCTGGCTCCAGAGCCTTTAGTTATGGAGGACTTGCAGCCTTTGATGAGTCAGCTAACTAATTGGAACTTCCCCATCTTCAGCTTGATGGAGAAAACCAACGGGAAATGTGGACGGATCCTTAGTCAGGTGAGCACAGTTCAATACATCAATTGATTATTTGCATAATGATGGAGATAGTTCCAGCAATAAAATGCTTGAAAGTTATAAAAACTGCTCAGTAACATGATGTTATTTTGCATCTATGAATGTGTAATTGCATGGCGCATTATATCCCTCCCAACTGTGATGTCAAGATGATCCAAGTATTGAGATGTTCACAGATTCTCTTTTTGTCCTTCAGGTCTCCTACAGGCTCTTTGAAGACACTGGTCTGTTTGAGACCTTCAAGATCCCTGTCAACGAATTCATGAACTATTTCCATGCCCTTGAGAATGGTTACAGAGACATACCATGTAAGCTCAAACAACTCTCTCCCCCTGTGTTTTGAGTTTGCTTGAGTTTTCTCATGATCCTGTTTGCAGGAAACAGCCAATGGGGGGAAATGTCACACCGTCATATATGACTGTTCTCAGGTCTTTATGTTGTTACACGAAACCAAAGTAGCCTTGCAGTGCTCCCTGGTGGTGGAGATCTGACAGTGTTTTCTAACCCAGATCACAACCGGGTCCACGCCACAGATGTGCTCCACGCAGTCTGGTACCTCACCACCCAGGCGGTGCCTGGTCTGCCCAGCCTCATTACTGACCACAGCTCTGCCAGTGACTCAGGTGTGTTCATTAGTACTTGCCTGCAGACATTTGTACGTCCTGGTGGGGGCGCTAGTGTCTACGTGAACCTACCACTCAATGGAAGTGTGTTGAAAGTTGTCACATAAGAACACTCCCAATCCTTTTTTGTTGAATTTTGCAACTTTTGTTAAGCTATTTATTATTGTTAAAGACGGTATATATGCAAACCCTTTTTCTTTATACATTACCATCTCCCTGCAGCTTCACCATGAGCCATCTCATTTATGTCGGGAGCATCAAACCTGCAGGAGTGTGTGTGTGTTCTTATCCGACTCATAGTTTGTCTTATCTTACTCAGGCTTTTGGCACTTTCGGTTACGTACCAAACACTATTTGAAGTCTAGAGCACCATGAAATTGCAAGCAGATTAGAGTTCCCGCTCACCCATATTTCCATAACCTCATCTGTATGCCTTACTAGGTCCATCCCTTTGATCCACATATAAGTGGATTTGAATGTTCAAGTGTGTGTTACTATGTGTGTGTGTGTGTGTGTGTGCGCTCCAGAGTGTGTGCACATGAAAGTACACTGTGTGTTTGTGTAAATTCTGCCACCCTGCTCTTCAACCTCTTTTCTTTGTCTGGTCCCCTGCGGCTAGACTCAGACAGTGGAATAACACACAGCCGTGTGGGCTTCCTGGTTTCAAAGACCTACACTGTGTCAGAAGATGGCTACGGATGCCTGTCCGGCCTCATACCTGCTCTGGAGCTGATGGCCCTTTATGTGGCGGCTGCGATGCACGACTACGACCACCCGGGGCGAACCAACGCTTTCCTCGTGGCCACCAGCGCCCCACAGGTAACTCGCGTTCATCTGCCGAGGAAACAGGCAATTGATTACGAGCAAAGTCGGTAGAAGTCAAATTGCTTGATTTGTTTTTCTTTGTAATCAACAAGTTGATTTCCGGTTTTTCTTCCACTATTCTATTTCATTGCCAATCTGCACCGCAGAATCATCAATCTTAGACAGCTAATAAGAATATTATAATATATAATAATATATAAGCATATAGTAGCTCCTCGCGGCTTGATATCAGGATGTCAGTATTCTGTAGAGTATTCTGTGTCTAGACATACGTCCTAAATGTAGGTAAACAAGCCGTCACAATGAAGAAAGATTGATTCTAATACTAATACAATAGAAACATTTGAATTATATACATAATCCCTGTCACTTGCTCATGTGAATGTGAAGTGTTTTGTGTCTGCAGGCAGTGCTCTACAACGATCGATCCGTCCTGGAAAACCACCATGCTGCCTCAGCTTGGAACCTCTTCATGTCGCGGCCAGAGTACAACTTCCTCGTCAACCTGAACCACGGAGAGTTCAAGCGTTTCCGTTTCCTGGTCATTGAGGCCATATTGGCCACTGATCTGAAGAAGCACTTTGACTTCCTAGCTGAGTTCAACGCCAAGGTAGTTATATAATCAATTGTTTGACATTAAATATTCAGAACATGTTACTTTCCATCCATCCATTTTCAACCGCTTATCCGGGGTCGGGTCGCGGGGGCAACAGCTCCAGCAGGGGACCCCAATCTTCCCTTTCCCGGGCCACGTCTACCAGCTGTGACTGGGGGATCCCAAGGCGTTCCCAGGCCAGTGCAGAGATATAATCTCTCCACCTGGTCCTGGGTCTTCCCCGGGCTCCTCACAAATGGCTCACCCTATCCCTAAGGGAGACGCCAGCCACTCTCCTGAGGAAACCCATTTCGGCCGCTTGTACCCGTGACCTAGTTCTTTCGGTCATGACCCATCCTTCATGACCATAGGTGAGGGTAGGAACGAAGATTGACCGGTAGATCGAGAGCTTTGCCTTCCGACTCAGCTCTCTTTTCGTGACAACGGTGCGGTAAAGCGAGTGCAATACCGCCCCCGCTGCTCCGATCCTCCGGCCAAACTCACACCCCATCTTCCCCTCACTCGTGAACAAGACCCCGAGGTACTTGAACTCCTTCACTTGGGGTAAGGACACATTCCCTACCTGGAGTAGGCAATCCATCGGTTTCCTGCTGAGAACCATGGCCTTAGAGGTGCTAATCCTCATCACTTTCGTTTTACTTTTAGATGTTCAATTTCAATTGTAGCGATGTTATTCAGTTTTATGAGTCCAAAGTATGAGAGGTGCTGCATACATTCATACTTCAGCTCTTTTCATTTAGAAAAGAAACTATGGGTTGTCATGATGTATTCAGTTAGAGTTGGAGGTGCAACTAAAATGCCTTGAAAAACATTGACTTTAACTTTGAGATGTTAAAATGAAAACACAATCTGCCAGATTAGTGGCATCACATGAACATACTATCCACGCACCCCGTGCTGACAACTTATTTGAACAGGTTGATTTTTTAAATGTGGGTCTGCTTATCCCCAAGGTGGGTGATGATCCATCCACGGGGATTGATTGGTCTAATGAGAACGACAGGTTGCTGGTATGCCAGATGTGCATTAAACTGGCTGACATCAATGGGCCTCTGAAGTGCAAAGACCTGCACCTGCAGTGGACCGAGGGCATCGTCAACGAGTTCTATGAACAGGTGTGTGAACAATCTTAGGCCTTGTTGGTATTTGCTTGAGTAAATGAGATCAATCTACTTTCAAATACGTCAAGTGGGTAAACAAACGCTGAGTATCACACTGTCAAATATGCAACTTCTGTAGCAATAAACCACACCTTTGTGTTGATGATGACAACGTTTTTTCTTTTCTGTGTTATATCGTAATTTCTGAGGAATTAATTTAATTATTTTTATTTGGGTTTATTTAATTTATATCTTGTATATAATTCACTCAAACCAAAGCTCTGTGAAAAAACAACTGGCCACTGTATTTATGACACTTGTTTCTTAAACACATCATATAGACATGAGATAGCTTTCTTTGCAATGCCTCTGAAATCTACCCATCTGTTTAGGATATCGGCATAGTTGCATCTCAGAGCTCCTCCTCCTCTTCTTTTATTTTTGCTCACCTGTCAAGATAGTACATATTACAAATCCATCTTTACTTTTTTGATGACTCTCATTGGGCCTAAGATGAAAAGCTCGCCTTTCTGTCGAAACAAGAACATGCCACTGTGTATTGGATGATACTTGAGATCAGTTACCAAGGAAACTAAAAGGCGGGCTGCATGTATATCGCCATTTAAATAATTCAGTAATCACTTCATTTATATAGCCATTAGATCCACTTCATAATAGGAAAGACATGCATCCCACGTTTTACATTATGGGACTTGAAGGCATTCCCTTTTGTACAACCCTGTTTTGACAACTGATGATGCCTTTATTTCATTTTCTTTCCGTTGAACTCTGATGCAGTTGGCACCAACTGTCCCATTCGTACTCTTTCTCAATCTTTCCTACACATGCAACTCGGCCCGAATGCCTCAGTCCTCTTGTATATTAGAAGGTGAATCCGTAACGTGGGCCATGCTTTATGTAGGGCGATGAGGAGTCCAGTCTAGGCCTACCAATCAGCCCCTTCATGAACCGAGCAGCCCCACAGCTGGCCAAACTCCAAGAGTCCTTCATCGCACACATTGTGGGACCGCTGTGCAACTCCTACAACTCAGCCTCCCTCATTCCGGGACGATGGGTGGAGCCCAACCTGGAGGAGGAGGAGGAGCCAGAGAGTGCTGAGAATGAGGTGGAGGATGACGATGAGGATACTGCAGAGGAGGACACGTCCACCAGCTCAGAAGCGTCACGTAAGAACAACGTTGTGGTGCAAAGCTATGAAGCTAAAGTAGTGGCTCAAGTGTAAACAGGAAGTGATCAGGCCTGCCTGCTAACTTAATGTTAATTTGCAATCTGGAATATGTGTAAAATCAGTAGTGCTGTGTTTTTTTCTTCTTCTTTTTTATTATTTATCTATTTCTTTTCCAGAGAAAGGAACATCCAAGAAGAGAAGGAAAGTCTTCTGCCAGATCACCTACCACCTCCTGGAGAACCACGAGATGTGGAAGAAGGTGATCGCAGTGGAGGCCCAGCAACAGGGCCAAGGCGCAGAATCTGTCCATTTGAACAATGTAGCCGAGCCAATCCTGGCTATTCATGAGGAGGAAGAGGAGCCAGGCAGCCGAGAGGAGCTAGTAGAAGGAGAAGATCTGGAGGAGGGGGAGGAGGAATCCAAGTGGCCGGTTTCTCCACAGGAGGACTCTCAAACTCCAGTGGAACTAGCTAGAGAGGGAGACTCACAGTGAAACAGCCTGTTGGAAATACGCCACCGGACAGGGCAAGGATGTGAAGAAGTATTTCTTGTTTTCTTATCCTATCAAAACTGACTCCTGGGTTCGCCAGCACTTCACTTAGACACAACACTGTAGATGTTTGGAAAATGTGTGCCTATAAAGAAAAAAAAAAACAGGGTGGGAAAATGTGTGCTTTACACAATTTATCTAAATATCTGGTTACACTGTACAACAGTACAACAGTTAAAAGAGATTTTCATTTTGCAATACAGGATTATTTGTGTACTTTGGGATACTGACTCTTTTGCTTCTGTCAAGAGAAGAGGAAAACTGCTTGCACAGACCTCAACCCAATGTTGTAACACAGGACTGCAGAAATTTGCTGCCAATTTATATATAATTATTTTCTGAATGCAATTCTATATAGACATCAAAGTTACTTGTACTTGTTTTTCAATTTTAGCAAGCGTTTTCGAGGTCTTACATGGGCCTTAATATGTTTTCTTTTTCTATATGGGGATTATAAAGGGAGCCAATCAAAAGAGGGACATTGGTGTATCTTTTATTCCTTTCAACTTTCGCCAAAATAAATCACCCACCCATAGAATTTAGCATCTGAAATCAAATGATAGCACTTTTGTGTCTTACATTTCTTTGCCAAGTTAACTACTTTTTCCAATTTGGTGTAGCCATATTATGTTATAGTAGGACTCAAGGCTCCTTACACTCTGTATTCATGTGCTTGCGTGTGTCTGCATGTTTAAATTGTACTTCTGCAGAGGACATGGATGGATTCAGCAGATTATTTCTGCCATCTCTGGCCTCCAGCCCAGAGCTGAATGTAGTGGTTATTACAGGGTTAACTGTCTCAAATATAGTCCAGTAGATAAGGTAACAGAGGGATGTCGGAAATGAATCTGTGCTGAATATAAAACCAAAAAAGGAAGACAGTGCACAGAGCATACAATAATACTACCAAAGTGTTAAGGGACAAACAACTGCATTCACACAAAGAACCAGAAAGCATGATCTATTCAACAAACGGGATGTTCTTTGTAGGTGGCCATATAGATTAACTAATACACTGTCTTACTGTTCATCTTTTTTGTGCAATTTTTTACTCTCTGACTGTATGTGGACCCAGTGTGCTGTATCACAGTTTTTATTTACTGGTTTTCATTATTTAAAAACCTTCAAATGATGCTGACCTTTAACCCTCAGGAAACACTCAACTGTTGAAATTCAAAGTAGACATCTGTACCACCTGTGAGAACAGCCAGTTACAGTTACGGTTACAAATATGCAGGGATAGAAAGCTAGTTTTGCTCATCAAAGGCTTAGAGCCTTTATGCTACACCCTCTTTGACTATTGTAACATATTTACATCTAAACACGGTGCATCTGGCTGAATTCTTCTCCTGGCACCAGGAGACATTGATTCTCCCGGAGCTAAGAGCAGACAGGCATCTAGAGTTCTTCTGCAAGTAAAAGCCCAATCGGATAAATCCAATCTGTTGCTGTAATAATACACAGAGAAGTCAACATTAATAAAAGTGTGTTGGTGCAAGGCTGACGGCTAAAACAATTCTCAGAGGCTAAATATTGAAACTGTCGGATTCCAGTTGAAAATATTGCTCTTAATGAATGGATATGCATTAGTAATGACGGGGATGGCAGCAATACGTCTTCTTTCATTTGTCTTTTTTTTACCTTTAAAACATCTAGTTTGTTATTTGGATGTTTCGTCACTGATACTCCATGTAAATTCATCCCAACATTTGGCCCTATAATGTTGTGTCCCTTCACTTTTTTATGGTGGAATAATTGCATTGGTAGCGTAATGTTATTATAGTCAGAGATGATTGTCCATCTAAAAAATGCAAATCTTCGGGTCGTTTTTTTCTTATCGCTTCAGGATCACTGTGATGATAAAAAAGAATGGAAATGAGTAGGTTAGTTGCAGCAATCGTCACTCCAGACATTTAATTGGTGAAATCAATGGAGCAAAGAGCTTTATTGAAACGTTTCCAACAGAATTTAAAACATTGTTTCTAAAAACATGACTTGTATATAAAACGTATAAAAAATAATTTTACTGACTTGAAGTTGCATGATATCCCCTACTTTCTACCGAGAAAAAGGTAAACCAATTAAATAACCAACTGCACCGTAGTAGACTGCAAAATGTCTCTGAAGAATTTCCCACTTTGCATCAATAATTCACGTTCACAGAGAAAAAGTGTTCGAGGGACGCTGAGTAGATCTTGACTTGAACAAGTAATGTGCTCCTTGCCCAATTGTCAGGTCAACTTTCTACCACACGCTAGAGTGCAGTGAGGCAACATGTCATGAATTATCCACTACCACCTCGTTGACTGATGACCTACCCTTCAATCTGATGTGCGCAGGTGTCCCATCTCAAACTGTACCACATCTCTCATACACAATCAAATTTCTTGAAACTAGAAAAGGTTGCGCAGCACACAAGTCAACCTGTGTGCAGGATATGAAAAAGCCTTCCTGTGGTGTAAATTCAAACGGGTGTAGAGCACCACGCCCTTGGAACAACACGCGGCTCTCTGCTACGGTGCAACGGGGAGGAGGACAAACTCAGGAACTGCAGCTTTTAGGCCAAACAAGTTGAATATAATTGGTTGAGCCACTGGTTAGAAAGGCACCAGACAGAGAATCAGATCAAACTCGAGGCGGCCGGTGAAACAGAACTTTTGTTTTTTTCTTCTGGTTTCTTGTGATCTTGTGTTCATTGTATCTCATATACAAAATTCCTCCTGTTTCCTCTTTGTTGCCGTAATTCATCCCTAATGACTCATTACAAAGACGACGAACACATTTTTTTCAGCATTTTGAAAAACCTGATGAAAAACCCATGTTATAAACATAAGCAATTAAATACAACACAGACTTCTTCACTAAAGTGGTCCAGATTTGAACATGTATATGACTACATCAACTTAAACTGTTTAAACCTCCTGCTTTGTGAATGTAAAAACTTTGTGTGTGTGTGCGTGGGAGAGAGAGGTGAGAGAGAGAGAGAAAGAGAGAGAGATCATTTATGTCTGTATGTATGTATTTTTTCCATTGGCCTCTCTAATGTGATTTATTTTACCCGTGTTTACTGTTGAGTAGAGGCTTACTATCAAGTAGAGGTGGTGAAATAATGAAGGTAAAGTGATGCAGAAAATAGTTCTTCAATTCTCCTCAGATGAATCTTCTGTTGATATTAGAAGGTCCACTAGCATATTTTTCCCTTGACCTGCAGAGTGTTGACTGGTAACCGCGGTGATTCATCACACGTCCCATCACCTTAAAAGGTGATGAGATTCCATCCACAGTGTTAGTTTGTTGGGGGTCGCTCTCATTTTTAGTGATGCTTCTGTCCGCTGTCCCATTACTCTTGAGTTTGAACTGATACAGTATATCAGTTTACAATCGTGTATTTTTCGTGTCTGATATGGTTTTGTTTCATCGTCATATACTTATTCACACATTAAGCATAATTGTAACCATGGGAACCAAACAAGCTTTACAATTATGTAAAACAAAATAAGATGAGTATTTTTATATAGTTGACACATGATTTAATAATTGTTTTCTTCTCACTAGTACCTTGCACTTATCACAAGTAAAATGATTTTCTTGCAGGTTGACGCTCCATTTTGTACAATATACATATATGCTGTACAGTAGAGAAATTTTAAAAATACAAAAACTCTTTTAGATATACATTATTTATTTTTACCATTTTGTAATTTAGACACTATACTGTAGCTTCAATATTGCCAGACTTACTGGAAGTGCCTATATTGGTATTATGTATCATACAGTGAATATATTTGAAGATCATTAGAAGTTGTCACAAACTGAACCATGTGGATGTTGTAATGTGAATACATTGAATTACAAGACTATAATTTCTGTGGTATTCCTGTGTCTGTGTTGTGTTTATTTTTCACCTTCGATTCATGTTTAGAATTAATAGATTGAAGATAACCGTACTGTGATTTGTTCACTATTTAGAATGAAACTTAACAAAGGACACAAACATACTTGTACGTTATTTGATAGACTGATTGCAGGTGGCAGTGCTCCGAAAACTCCAGTAAAGGAAATAACACAAACTCAAATACAATTCCAAAAAACGTTAAGGATCATAGAATACACATGACTATTAATAACCAATACTAACTGTTGAACTGCCTGTCCTGATAATACAATCATACATTTTTGCATTTGTGTATTGTATTTTCATCAAACTGATTTGCATGATGGCTTCTAATATTGATTTTCATTGAAGGTCGATTTGGTTGAGAAGAATGTTAATGGTAAATGTACTTGTATAGCGCTTTTCTAGTCTTCTGACCACTCAAAGCGCTTTAACACTACATGACATCATTCACCCATTCACACCTATTCATACACTAATGACAGGAGAACCACACACAGTGACACCTGCCCACCAGTAACTAACATTCACACACTGTAGTTGCAGCTACAGGAGCAATGTTGGGTTAAGTGTCTTGCCCAAGGACATATAGACATGCGGGTTAGCAGAGCCTGGGATCGAACCCACAACCCTCTGATTGGAGGACGACCGTGCTCCCCACTCACCCACAGTCGCCATCATGCAAAGAAGGATTTCTCTCATACAGAAAAATCAAGCAAAATATTTTTTTCTACAATTGAGTAAAGCGATGTGATTTGAGGAGACTTGTGAAGGTGTTCGACCAAAACTACTGCAGTTTGGGTTTGTTTTCGTCCACCTTATTGTATCTGAACATATTCAATTTGCACACAGAAACTGAAATGAAAACGCCAACGTGATGTTGAAATGGTGTCAAATGGATGAAAGAGAGATCCAACTTATCCTATACCTATATGAAGCATGTGACCAAACATAGTTTCAGACCATAATAGATCATATATAATGTGTAATAAAATGTAAATTCAAGCTTCTTAAAAGACAGACTGTCGGGTTTGAAATACTTGGCCCAGTCTCTCCACGGGCTGCAGCCATTGTCCTTACTGGAGAAAAACATGCACTGACAGAACTGGAGATAAAAATACTAATAATACAGGTTGAGTTGACATCATACATTTCCAGACAATGATTGGATATCATCATACCTAGCATCTGAATGATCAATGTCAACATGTTTTGTGAGGTTTCTGTGACCTTCAACATCCAAAGTCTAATCTGTTCACCGTTGAGGCCAAGTGAACGTATGAGCAACATTTGAAGCGATGTCCAGAAAAAAAAAATGTCTGCCGCTGCGGCTGTTTTTTGTGTGTTTGTTTGAAATGTGTTCAAATAAATATATGTCTTTGTTCTTTATTGTATGAGTCCAAACTATATCCATCGGTAGGTCCTGTCTTTGGTTACCTGCTGGGATCGCTGTGTGCACGTTGACGCTGACTATGTGGACATGGGTGAGTGAACTATCATCTCACTAATGAAATATGACCGATTTAAAGACAATGTTCTGCTTAGTGAGTTGATAATAATTTGTTCACACTGCAGAAATGCACCGGCGATCCTCCGTGGAGAGTTGGATTTAGAAACTGGCTGTTGTACACAACGGTGTTAAAGCTTGCAAGAGGGAATGAATTAGAGCAAGGTAGATCCTGTCAAATAATGAAACCTGACAGTGAAGCTGCTGCAAGAACAATACAAGTTGGGAGTAGTCCATTTGGTCTGAACTCCGGCATTTTAATGTCTACAGCATAAACGACGTTATGAGAAATACAATAACAAAGTGAAATACAAAACGAACAGTAAAATATTTCGTGAAATAGAGAATTCTCTGAGCAAGTCTAAAATGACTCATCAAAGCGGCTGCAGGAAAATTCTAACCGTCCTTTCCCCGCTTTGGTCATTTGAAAACTCTTGAGGTGTGTCTTATGGGTGCGTTTGAATGTCATTGGTGTCTCCTCCTGGATTGTCCCCTTCACGTCCAGGTGTGACGCTGCAGCTGTAACCTGAAACCTCTCTGTCCTATCTGTCCCTTACATTCCAACACATTCAATGTAGATACATTTGGCTTTATGCCTCAATGAGTGAATATAACATAGCATGCCTAGTTTAAGTCTTCATCTTCTAACTAGTACGCTTTAATTACAACACATCATAAATGATCCCCGATCATCACACTACTTCATGAGATCTAATTCAGTTCATGTGGTCCAATACTCAAGACATTTGCCTCAGTCGGCTGCCTTGTATTCAGTTGCTCATCTACTACCTGCCAGGAGAAAAAACTCCCCAAAAAACGTCTTTGGGGATAAAACTGGGATAAAGGACAGCAATTAGCATCCGTCCCCAGGTTTTAACATCACATTATGACAGAATGTTAATGTTTACACTGTTTATATAATTTACATGACTAGAATTGTGTTTGATTCATATTTCATTCACTTCATCTAACATGCTGATGTAATAACTAATATCTAATAACACACAAACTACAATTCTAAACACTAAACATTATTACACGTATTATAATTTCCACCACTAGGGATGCTCTTCTTGCTTAAATCCATAACACTTGCCGAAATGTATTGGAAACACAATTATGGTCAATGAGAAGCTAATTAAACAAAATGAATCCACGTACTGTGTGGATACATTCATTCATGTTTCTTCTAGCCGCTATGCCCCCACCCAGCGGCCATCGCCATCACCCCTGGCTGGGTGGGGGCATAGCGGCTGAGCTACTTCACCTCTGGTACCATCACCCTCATGTCTGCCATTCCTTTTTGAACAACACAAAACCAGGTTTATCAAAGATTCCTTGACTATGGAGCACAAGTCCAGATCTGAGCAGCCGGCAAGTATACATCAGATGGCCGAAGGTACGATTATAGTCACAGCTTATAATTGTTGGAAATTGTTAATGTTCAGTAATGGCATTGTAATCTGAATGCAGTCTGGGGAATCTTTAGTGATGTTAGAACTTTCCCTTTTACTGCTTCCCTTTTTTGCAACCTTCCTTATTTCCTTTATTAACCCACTGTATTATTTATTGTCATTAGATCTCAGAACAATCAATCAAATGTTGTTGACACCCTCCTTGGAAACCCTTTGGACATCCCTTTTTATGCTTAACCATCATTCAGTTTAACTCTCTTATCTCTCTCAAACCAAAATACATACAACACTAGTCAGCATAAAAAAAAGCCAATTTCCTCATGGGTAAGCAGACTGTTTTCATAATTCATGGTCTCATTCATGGGCTACTGAAATCTTTGAACAGTTTTGCATTCATTTAAAATTAAAAAGCAATTCCGAAAATCCTATTGAAATCGGAGACGGTGCAATTACACGATTTCACCCACATCCCATAATGAGTGAAGAGGGTGTTGCATTATGAGAAATGCATTTCTATCCTCTCTACCAACTCAGGTCATTTCCATCTTTCACAACATGACTGCAGAACACTTTACATGAAATATGCACGAGGGTACTTTCACATGAATACGTGCTTTTTCTTTGATCTGTTGTCGCTGTCTGATGTTGTTCATTCCGGTATTTTCCTGACTAATCTGTTGTACTCTGAGGCTTGGCTAGGCACAATCAACATCCCAGCTGTGGCCCCTGGTATGTTCTCTGGAGGGGTTTTCATGAAGAAGTACACGCTTGGTGTCATGGGAGCAGCTACATTCGCCTTTGGGACCTCGTTTCTGGGTTACTTCCTGTCTCTCATTTGTTTAGCCGCGGGCTGTGAGAACTCCAAGGTGGCAGCCATCACATTCTGTACCCGGTATGTGATGTCCGGATACACTTTATGTGTGTGTTTAAACAGTATGTCTAGTGTATGATAGACGGAGGAAAAAAATATATATATATATATAAGATTTAGAAGATTTAGGATTTAGGGAAATTCTACAACAAATTGGTACAAGTCTATATGCTTTCTCAGTCTCCTTTTTCTCAAGGAGGGAGTGGATCAGGTGTGCAAAGAGAAGAGGATCACCTACGTGTCTCCCCCGGCCTGGCTGGATGCACCTCCTCCACTGGAGCCGTCAGAAATACGTTCAGACGTTAATTATCGACACAAATGGGGCATCGAGATGTGCAGAGGAAGAGTAGCATGCAGACTAACACCTCAACTTATATGTGATTTGTGTAGAGCTTTTGTTATAAAATGCTGTATGCAATATCCAAAGCTTAAACATGACAAATCTAACCTCTCCCAAAGAGCATAGACAATGGCCCAATAATAATTTAAATATCCTACGGACACTACGCGCGTTACATCAGGTATTAATTATTAACAAGACTCAGCATAAACATTTTACACTTTTAATATGCAGCATTCACACATTTATATTTTAAATTAATGGCATATCTTTTAGTAAGTAGATGTTTTAAGGATGTGATAACTTTACACTATCCTTTTTATTGGGACACAGCCTACTGTTTGTTTATTCTCATCAAATAAAAAGTCAAGATTAATCGAAATGGCCCCCGCATACGGCACACAGTGTTCGAGTCATGAGAAATCATACAGTTGTCACTCTGTGGCTGTGGTTACTGATCCTTTTTGTCTGCAGGACTTTGGAGATTCTGTGGATCAAGAACAAGATTTAAAACTCTATTGCAGTCATAGTTGTGTGTGTGTGTGTGCATGCACTGTACCTGGAGCTGAATATGTTCGCTCAGTAGTCTGTCATACTCTTGTGCCAAACCTTTGGCCTGCCTCCTCATGGCCTCCACTTCAGCATGAGACTTGCGCACAGCTGCACACACACAGGTTCTTCATCCGTAAATAGTCCTATTTAAAAAAAAATGTTTGTACCTGTATCAAGGAAGTGATGATTACTCACCCTCTTCAGCACCCTTCACTTGATCTGCCAGCTTCTCGGCTTCTAGCTTCACTTGCTGTTTCTTTACTGACATGGATTTTTCCTCATCCAGGAGAGCCTGAGCACAAAATGTTCTCCTTAAATTACCAACAGCAGACAAAATACAAAATGCAGAATACTAATCACAGAAACAGCACAAGAAGTCCAGTACATAATAGTTCCCACACATTTGAGCAAAGTCTACACAAGTTACAAAAATGATGAAAAGGTAAAGTAATGTTATACCAAAGGCCCGATGTGATTTGCAATAGTTTTGAGCCGCTACGGTAGTTGAAAAGAACAGGCTTTAGCACTACAAGACTAAAATTGTTTTAGCCGCCGTTTTTACTCCTTACTAACTCACAAACTAACTTTTGTGAGTTTCAAGTTGTCGTCCTGGTGCCTCTTGGCTGCTTTGACAGCCCCGTCCATCTGAGCCTGAAGGCCCGCGCTGCTCTCCACCGTGACAGCGAGCTGGTTCAGCAAGGTGACTATCCGACGCATGATACTGTGATGGAGGACAGGAAAAGATGAGCAGCAGAAGAAAAGACGGCGCCGCCTCAGAACGTGAAGCGGACAGTTGTGCGGAATGGAAATGTTTGTCTTTGACTGCGCTCGTTCTGTGAGGCTGATTGAATGCGGAAGGAGAAAAACACTAACAGCCAGAGGAAGAGAGAGAAGCCAGATATGTAGAGGTTCCTCTGGGCTCTGAACAGCTTCATGTGCACATTGTCGTACACATTTGGGTTCACCTTAGCATCCTGCATGGGTTCAGGCCCTGAGTACTTGTGCACCTCACGGACAGCATCTAAAGGGGGGGGGGCAGTGGGGCAAAAGCACGGATGAGCTAGATGGACAACATGCTGTCGGTGTTACTCAATGTCAGCCGCAGCAGGCTGCTTACCGAGGAACAGAACAATAAGAACCATGATCATGGTGAAAAAGCACTTGTTCCAGTACGGAGATAACCAATTCCATATTCTCCAGCTGAAAACTGAACGCCATCTACAACAAAGGTAAAAAGGCCTTTGTGAGAGCACCATAATACACAGTAAATATATCCTTGAAGGACATGTAGTGTACGCTGCTTCAATTGGTCTGACTTGTTTTGTTTTGTTGGTTCCAAAAATAGGCCTTTGCACAGGAAGCTAAGCACCAGTTGCAAAGTAAACACATCGTGTTTTGGGTTTGTGAGTTAAATTGCAGTACCTCCGTGCTGATATGAAGGGAATACACAAAATCAGGTTGACTGCTATCTCTGCATAGAGGAACAAAGCCACAGCAGTCCATTGGAGGGTCATTGTGACTGCGATTTCCTGTGGAGATATACAGGCTTCATCATCCCCATGTATACAACTTCTGGATTGCATATTTCAAAGCATAACACTGCAAAAATATATCTTTCTATATCGCTCAATTCCTCCAGTGGATAGTAGCAGCTGACATTAAATTACAACAGCAATCAGTCCCCTTTAAACAAATGGCATTGGAATATTACATATTAATGTGCTCTTTGCTTACTAAACTATAGAGTGTAGTGCTATTCATATTGTAACAGTAATGAAACAGGCAGTCTGCAGCAGGCATTCACAGCCCATTTGTCATTTAAAGGCTTTTACCTCTAAACCTATTCGTACTTTTCAGCATTAGTATGAGTGGAGCTGCTACTCGGTTTAAGTGCATAAGGTGTTAAATATATTCTCAGCAATAAACAGAGTTGTCGCCTTACCAGACAAAGTTGTGCGATCGGAAGAACAGGAGAGCGCAGAGACGCATGCGCTCACACACATCCACAACAGCTGCTGGCGAGCATATAAGGAGCTTCAGCCCGGAAGAAATCTGCACTGTCGTTGACCTCATCCGTCTTGCACTTTGGATCGTTTAATGTTCATAAACTGATCAATCTGATCGGCTTAAGCTGATCAATCCAACGAAATGCTTTGCTTTCAGTTCAGAAAGAGTGCCGCACTTTTTAGATTTTTTTTTTTTTCTAGTGTGTGAGTGTGTTTGTTGATGTCTCTTGTTCTCGTGTTTCGTTTCATGGTTCAAAAATAGTCATGTGAGGGAGGGACACTCCTTTTAAAAATAGTAATAAAGCCGCGGTGTTTGTTGCTTTTCCTAAACCACTATAATGAACAAGCACGCTCACGTTTTTCTACATCTCTTTGCTTGTGCTGATCTTTTCGGAGTGGGCCTTTTCTGCCTAAAAGAAGCTAAAGAAATGTCCACATGAGGGCGATGTTATCCAATAACATCACATAGCTTTTGCACATGGTTTGGAAACTTCAAGTCCTGTTTGTTTTGCAGTTATGCAGTGAATTTAATCCAAATATTCCCTGTGTGTCAAGGAGATATACAGACAGCTGACAGTGTGGATAAAGGGCTCACTGTGCAGACATCAGCTGACTATAAATAGTTCTCACTCTGAAATAGCAGATATACACTCAATCCACTAGCCTATTCATTACAAAAAGACTTGAAACGATTGGTCTTTTGTTACTTTGTGTGCGCTTTGAAAGGAACAAAAAACGCTGTTGGCTTGCTCATCTTGCACATAAAAACATGAATTGCATGCGGATTGCACATCAATAACAGAGATTCGGGGAATTCTGGAGTGCAGCCTTCAGTACACTCTTCTTCATTTTCAATAATCAGTCTTTGTTTGTTTTGTTCACCAAAATGAATGTTATGTGTGTCGTCCCTCTCTCAGCTGTATTCAGCCTTCACAGTGCATTCACTGGGGCTTCCTCTGTGAAAGAGACTGATAGCTGCTATCCTCTTTGACTGCACGTCTCAGGAGTGCTGAGGAGCGAAATGTTTACAGCTGCAGCATGTGATAGCTTTTTAAGAGAGGCCAAATGACTGTAGCAGGACTGAATGTGCTTTGATTGCACTCCTCTCCTCACCATCTCTGAGGTCAGAGCTCAAGAGACTGAAGAGGCATTACAGCAAAATGCCTGCAATAAGCAGATGGTCAGGCTATGGGGATAGTGTGCTCACTGGAGTGTTCTAACCTGAGAGCTCCATTTATTTTATACACACATATACACACATGATATATATAAGATATTTCTTTCAATGCAGGAAAGTATGCACAAACTCCTGCCTGCAATGTGAACCCGAGGCATTCCTGACCGTCTGAGGGAATAGTGGCCCTATTGAGAATTATATGTGTAACGTTCGGTGTACATTAAGCTACTTGTGCCCAGAATGTGTCCACAGAGAGGCGCCCGCCTTTACTCATGTATATCAGTCCCTCACCTTGTCCCAGAGTACCGAGTACCTTGGAGTACCCTGCCAAGGATTTCTCATTTCAACTGCTCGTATCCTTGGATCTTATCATCCCAGTCGCTACACAAACTTGTGACTGAAGGTTGCAACATAAATCAATTTGCACTACGAGAGCTTTGCCTTCAGGCTTTGGTGCTTATAACACTTTTATGTATCCCATAACCTATTTGGTACTATTCTGGCCACATGTTCTCCACCATGTTGTCCTAATTTGTGAGCAGCTCTGTCAACATCTTCCATTTTGGCCTACATAGGTTGAGACCATAATGAGCTCCATATTTGTCACAAATGGTGCCAGAGTTTGTAACTAATGGGGCCCAAATGAGCAAACACCCCAGGTGACACAAAGACAACTTTTTTTGGACCAAAACTTTTGGTCACTTACATGTCAACATCACTCTCACGAGTTCCTTTCACGTGCACTTACTACATCTGGGCCGTGACCTTACCAAGAGCTTTCACTTCTGCATCTGCAAAGTTTGTTGAATATTTGGCATGTTGGTACTTTTAAATGAGACCTGGAAAGAGGCAAAATACAAGGACGCCAATTGCGTCGTAAAATGAGACAGTAGGTGAGGACGAGTCTCCAGGAGGAAGAGGATCCAGATACAAACATCTGGAGTGGGGCACTAAAAGACAAGGTGGTATTGCTCGGTCACAATGTTTGCGAGCTAATGCTACATTATACAACATACGGGTAAATGGACAATGTAAAGTGACAATATACGAGGTTGGTGTTGGTGGTGCATTTCCAGATGTTCCAGCTGCAGGAATTTACCAATTTGGCAATCAGCCACAGGTGTGTGAAGATAGATCCAGACAAAACCACTAATATCTGTTGGGCTTTCGCTGGAGCTGCATCATGCACATGAACTTTGATACCACAGTCCTGACAAATCGGAAAGCATTTGCCACATTGCACTGTGGTAAAACTAAGATCACAGGTATCCACACAGATTGTAAAATGAGAAGACGAGCTGTAACCTATAGTCGATGTTCTAGTTGTAGCGCCAACGACACTGTAACAGCATTATCTTGATAAAGTCCACATTTGTCTTTCTAACTCTGATTTTATTATATAACAATAATGTGTTTCATTGACAGGGAATTTCCAAAACTATCCATATTATTCTGAAGTTTAAAATGGAGTCCATCTGAGAACACTACTGGTTATTTTATCTTCAATGTTATAAAGTATAAAGGGGAAATGGGAATACTGCGTAATGTCTTGTGTAAATCTTTATGTAGACTTGAAACGGTGACTTGAACCAAGAGACTTAGGACTTACTTGGAGTCGTTTTGAAAGAGCAATAAAATTAACACGTTTTCCATTTGAACAGGAAAAATTATCATCAGTAAAAACTTAAATCATGTGGTTCCCACATTTTGTATTGTTTTTTGGACAGGACGTGAATGATTTTGAGCCTCAGAAGAAGCTCACCTCTTATTTGGATTATAATATATAGACTATGTTTGGTTTTATAATGAAATAAGGCCAGATAATCCATTCACAGTATATAATGCCCTTGTGTACAGACTGTTTCCAAGCAACCGTATTACTTGATTTACACAGAGAAATAGTTTAACAGAGAGCCACGTTAAGAGGAGTTGAGGGGGAGTTGTTGCGCGGTTAACTGAGTGAATCAAATTAAATGATGGCTAGAAAATGTTCTTTGTCAAAGAGGTTAAAATTCCTTTCAGCACAGAGTGCATCATTATAGTCATCCAGGGATGTGGTCGGGTGAGAACGGGTTTTCCTCCAGATATTGGTGCAGGAAACTAAGGTAGGTTTAAGGTAAAGCAGCACTCTCATGTTTAGTTTCATTACAAGAACACAGTCCGTGCGCAACGTGGTTAAATATGGTATTCCAGGTTTTATGGAGGAGGCAAGAACATTTCAATAGAGGATACATATCTTGTCAGTTAGAGCTGCAGTATTATCAGTCTACTGGAACCCTAACCCTAATTCTTTATGATTATTTTAAACAGAATATTTCGCACTAGTTCCACTAATATCCTGATAATTGAATTATCGCTTCTCTGTTATTGACAACAGAAAATGACAATAAGTTATTTGAATATAAAAATGTCAGTAAACCTTATATTTAGAATGTAGTAGATTTAAAATGTACTTTTCCTCTTTGGCTTGAATGGCATAAATCTTATATTGTCTCAAGCTGCAAGTTTGTGGTAGTGAATTCCGTTGTGGTGGTCTCATTTGTAATTGTTCATGCGCCGAGAAAGCTGGAGCAGCAATCTCCTCTCCTCTGTGTCCCCTCTCACACCGATGGTTGACACTCTGTCACTGCCCTGATGAAACGACTGGAATGACACATAGCTGCATGCACACACTGTATGGACATAACTGCACTCACTGGAGTATGCAGGCATTACTCAATGGGTCCACACACTGAATGACAGGTGTGCGCGCGCACACACACACACACACACACACACACACACACACACACACACACACACAGGGACTGGGCATCCAGCCATGTGGGCACCTCTCATTTAGTTGTGTCCTTCACATTTTTGGTTTAGTGCTAGTTGGTCCCTTTGTCTGACTCATATTTCATAAAGGAGGATTTCACAATATAACAGCACATTAAATATTCTCTACTGTCATGCTTCATCACATTAGGATATTTTGCTATGGCCAAATGGTGAACTAAAGAATTAGTTTTTATTACAATTAAAAAATATTCCATATTGTCGACTTTGACATACATGTAAGTGGCTTTTTTTGTGTTTGCTCAGTAGCATTCATTTGTACTTGGATGTAGACTGCATGTTAATTCATCAAAGGAGAACACATCATTTACCATTGAACACCTGCACAGCATTGATTCAGACCAGTTTGTTATTTTCCTGCTATATCATACGGTGATGCCATTAATGTCACAGGGGGGTAGAGGTTTCACCCTGTTGTGTGCCCCTGACTCCTGGTATCCATCTGAGTCATAGATGTTCTCGTACAGAGATTATAGGTTGCATATGAGGCCATATATCTTCCATCTCTGTAAAGTAGAGTAAATGTGGCTTGGTGAGAGCAACATTTGGAAAATGACCACGAGCAACAATTTATCAAACTGCGCTGGCTGGTGTGCTCAATTCACTTTCTTCTTCTCTACAATAGCAGAATTACAGTTGAGTATTTGCTGACTTAATCCAATAGAGGCTCCATACGGACGGAGTAATATGATTTACCCGCCTTTTATTCTGTGTCTGCGGCTGGATAGAGAGGAGCCCTAAAGAGATGCCATCTGAATCTGAGAGCGAGAGAGGGACATAATGTATGCGAAAGGGACAGCAGTAAACCTCGGCCTTATTGTATAGTGTCGGGGGAAACAGACACATCAGGGTCAAGTGATTCTATTAAAGCTCCCAGTAAAGATTTTTTATTGAGTATGCTAGTAAATTGACCTATTTCTTTCTCTGCAGTTCACCTCGGGTCAGAGGTCAGGCGGCACCCTGCTAAACTCTCCTATAAGCCAACCAGCAAAGCTGACCTTTAGATGGTAGCCGTTTGTAAACGTCTAGATTAATGAAAGTGGTCACGTGTGGGCCAAAAGGAAACATAAACTACCCACGATCAATGTAATAGCAATCATAACATAAAGGGTTTATAATTCCATTTTCAGCTGAGGCCATGAAGCAAATGTTACGCTTGCCCTTCACAAAATGAGATTATTTTTAATATAATAAAAATGAAAAAGGAGACACATGAGAATAGATTGCTGGTGTAAATTATTTCAGTTATTAAATACATGCTTTACATGTTTGTGTACATCACTAAGGATGATTTTAAATTCCACTACCCTACGCTTTGCAACATTTTAACTCCTTAATAAGCTAGTAACTCCATAAGAAAGGGTATGTCGAGACTCTGTTGCATTGTCGGATGTCGGATGGCCAATATCAATAATTCCTGAATGCAGCTTACGAAAGAAATTCATTTTCATCATGACAATGAGATTGAGACAAGATCGAAGTCACTGGCCAACACAACATTTTACAATAGAACCCAAAGCCCTAGATCTGTTATTCAAGCACATTGAGCTATATTGGTCAGAATCTATGTCGGAGTGCAGCGACTCTGTTATCGAATCTGTGTTATTTGTGGCGCTTTTGAGAGCTTTTTGAGTGGTTGTTGCTCTCACAAAGGGATTTTTCCCCAGTTGGAGAAAGTACTGACCCTGCTGAAAGCTTTTATAGGTTGGACCAAGGTTAAGAACGTCATCCGCAGCTGCCGGAATCCAAACAAATATAGCAACAAATATCAATAAAAAAGGTGGAGCTATCAACCCTGTACAGTTAACCCAACGAACACCAATATCCTGCGTTGAAGGCATGTCTTTAAAAGAGAGAGTTTGAGCCATCCTCCCCATTGGAGTCAAGGAAAGGCTTAGTTCCACAAATGACTCAGTACTTTCTGCCTTGTTGGCCTTAATGAAGATCAAGTTGGGATAGTATGTCCCTCGGTGTGCACAGTGGTAATAAAACAACAAATAGCCCACACTGTACTAAATGTTACATAAATATCATGTCAAATCAATGAATATGGTCAATTTGAAGCTTACTGCTCCTAACCAGCACTTGCACGGCTACAGTTTGGGCTAAAAATGACACCAAGAGAGCAGTTACATCGAGCTCAGTGATCGGTAAGAGCAAAATACACCCAAATAGAAAAGGACGAGAAAGAAAAAGCGAATGTCCGACTGAATAATGTCGTATTAACAACACGGCGGTTAAGTCCAAACATGTTGGTTGTGCTGGAAAAGCCTTTTTTTTCCAGCAGCCAGTGCCGGCTACAAACCAGGATAGAAAACTAATTGTGACCTAGATAGTGTAAGTACTATCGGCCATTGAGAGGTCATTTTAGAAGGTAATCAATACGAATGATTTTTTTATCAGTACCACTGATTAAGTTTGGATTGGTACCTGACATTTGAGCAAAAGGCTAAATTGTGTATTCGGGAGTGGAACACAGCTGTTAGTGATGAATCATTGTTGTGTTGGCAACGGGAATAAGTTCATACAGTTGTACATTACTACCCCACCTCTGATGTTTTCCCACTGAAAGTTGGACCCATGCTGTTTACATGTGGTTGTTAAATGTGTCCTGTGGCTCAACGTTTCATCTCATAGGTCATTTTCGCTCCCCTGTTGGCTAATCTGTCGCTGGCTCTCATCCCATCTCCTCTCTCAATCACTCACATGCCCTGAAGGTACCGTGACATCCACACTGCCTATTTACTGCAGGGTCATTAAGAACCTTGCCTCCATCAATATTCCCATATCAGCCCTCTCTGTTGTGCTACAAACCACACGCCAGTCTGACAACGAGAGAAACATCAGACCAAGGTTGTGCAATCGCTCTGGTAGCCAATAGCCGCGTGCTCTCATTACCTAAAGGGCTCTCCAATTTTTCTACCGTCCCCGAGACAGCAACGTCATAACACGTTCAGTGCTAAGATAAACTGTGGCGTGCACGTGCATTTGTGTGTGTCTGCGACTTTATGCATGTGGCTAAACTGCACTCTTCATAGCCACATTTCACAGGGATTGTATTGAAGTGAGCTGCCAGGCTAGTTGAGCGTGGCTTTATGTGCTAATGGCTGTGCATCTATCTATCTATCTTTCTTGTTATTGCTACTGAAATTATATTATTACTACTTATTTAGGAAATATAAGGCCGACTGAATTATAATTTACCACTTGGAAAATAGAGTTTCACTATTGTATTCCTTGATAAACAAAGGAGGACACGCACTATTGGAGGACATACAACGACAGGGAAGAAAAACTTTGTTATTTGTTATTGTGGATTCTAAACAGATTCTTATATAAGGCTTTGACTTTTTTTGCAGTAGTTCTTTATTGCAGTGATGGATTTGCTTCTTTGGAAAGCATTGTTTTATGCCTAGCGTTATTAAAAACAGACAGTTTGATACAACCATTTTCAACATTTCCCTTTAGTTTGGTTAAATAACTTCTTTGTGGAAACACAACCTCTGTGGATTCACTCAGGATTAAAACAATATTTGTCATTGTTTTGTTCACTGTGTTCAATATGTGCTATGACGCTTTCCCACTCGACAAACCAAGATAAGGCAACTGTATATTTTCCATTTGGCTCAAAGACGCGACTGTTAAAGTAAAACAGACTCTGCTTTGATTATATCTGTTTTTCGTCAGAGGTGATGAGAGCCATGGTCTTCTGTTGTGTCTGAGGAATGCAAGCGTTCTTTAACTCTAAAAGCAGTGATTGTGAATCATGAACAGTGCCCCGAACCCTTCCGGCCACAGCGACATAACATACGTTTTCCTGCTTCATCCCTTTCCATGTATGACCTGTCCGCCTTCCCTCATGGGGCTCACAGGCGACAAGGTCAGTGGTCACCGGGGGATTGCAGGTCTGGCCTTGCAGCGAGTGGCACGGTGATGAATGGTTGTAATGTCACAGTTGTTACAGGAAACACAAACACTTAACTTGGAGAGGGGGGGGGGGAGGGTATAATAGGAAGCTTTTTGCTGTGTTTGGTGAGTGAACACAGAATTTATTATAAATATACATAAACATAGTACTTCCTAAGTTCTCTCGCTCTATCTAAATACCTTGTTTACCTTATGCTGTACGTGTATTACGTATGAACACAATGCTATGTATGTTGCTACCATTACAAAAAGCCATGCAATATCTACAGTACAGTATATATTCTATCTATGAAACCTACATTTGTTCTCAATAAATAGTAATAAATTATCCACCTCTTGTTTCTGTACATTCTATTGCACATACTATTTACATTACTGCTTTGGATTAACATTTTCCCTTTTAAGTCATGACCTGATGTCAGTTTTAGCTGCTTTAATTAACTGTGTAACGTAAAGACAACGCCTTCCTTCACGCCACGTCCTCAGAAGACAGACATTTCTGTTGGGCGTCTTTGTCCTCAAATGTCACCTTTTTATTCCTCTTTGGGTCGATCCAGGAGTTGTGGATGATGGCATTGTTCGGGGTAGGATCGGCCTCAATGATCGACACCACTCGCTTCTTCATCTTGCTTTTCAAGACTTTCTGGAACTTCTGCCTGGTGAAGGCATAGAGTAGAGGGTGAAAGATAGTGGTCCCATAAGCCATCACCAGGAAGCCCAGTCTCAACTTGACCATCAGGTCACTGGGGCCCACACTCAGGATGATCGTGTTGAGCACTGTGATTGGCGTCCAGCACAGCATGAAGGTAGACACAATCAGGAGGGACATTCTGAAGACCCTCTTTTGGCGTTCCCGCCTTTCTCGGTGGCGCTTGACCGCCCTGCGCAAGGCGATGATGACGGAGACGGAGGTGCGCATCCCCAGGGTGGGGTTGCGGCTGCCGCTGCTCTGGGAAGCATCCGTGGCCTCGTGCTGTGTCTTCATGGCCGTCATGGATGGGCTTTTTTTCCTGCGAGCCTTCTTCTTCTGTGAGGCGTGGAACCGTGTGCCAATGCGAATGTTGAGCGCCTGCAGGATCTTTGAGTAGGTGATGAGCATGACCACGGCGGTTAAGAAGAAAATCGGAATCTGAGCGAGCAGATGGTAATAGAGGCCGAGCTCTGTGTAGTACTGGTTAGTGTGGACCACGTTCTCCACCGCTGTCTGGTTCAGATCGGCTTGTCCCTGGGCGAAGAAGCCCACCTCAATAAAGGGCACGAGGAAACTGACAAAGGACAGCACCCAAATGGCAGACAGCAGGGTCAGGGCGCGGCCCATGGTCAGTACCCGGTTGGCCGGCTTGACCGAGATGTCGTAGCGGTCGAGGGTGATGGCCAGCACGTTAGCGGCAGTGGCGACGCTAGCGAAGGAGACGCAGGCTTCATGGAAGCAGCAGACCAGCGCAGTGTCCCCCTCCAGCGAGAGCAACACCACCACAATGGTGAGGGGGATGCAGCACACACAGATGAGCACATCCAGCACATGGAGGTTCATGGTGACAATGTTACTGACAGAGCTAATGAGGTTCGACTTCATACAGTAAAGGGCGAGCACAGTGAGGTTGGAGCTCATTCCCAGGAGGATTTCCAGCATGAGGAAGCATGTCAGGGAGACCTGGAAACTAACAGGATAGGGATACGGGCTGGGGCTTGCCGGACTCATGGTGCGGCTGATGGGCTCAGTGTTGTCGGTGACCGTGACGTTGCTCATCGTGGCTTCTTGTTCAGGGCAGCGAAGGATATGCATTATCCTGCGTGTGGAGAGAAGAGAAAAAGAGAATTTGTGAAGTGGAAAGGAGGACTATTTTGCTGCGTCCCTTGCCTCAATCAGGTCCTGCTTATCTTATCACCATGCTTGATAGGACAGTTCCACAGCTGAGGCCCATAACTATAACACTTAAGAAGAAATTACATTTTAATAACCTCATGGCCTTTATTGCTCAGCATGTTGAGGCTTTGTAGTGGCTTAGCTGTGGCTTAGTGTTCTTTTGAGCCTCAACTGAACAACACATTCAAGCTGACATTGCTTAGTGTATTTGCATTTATTGTATAGATAATTAATATAAACCCGAGGCCATGACGGCAGTGAAAACAAAGCTAATTTTAGCCACAATTAGCTCTATTTAATTCGGGAGGAGTTGGGAAATAACATACTTTATATGGTATTTCCTAACTAAACTCGTAATCTCTGGCAGCATTTCAGGTATTGCTTAGTTAAAGAAGGTGGTTCAAAAAGTATATTCTGTCAGAATATTATATCAGGTTTGTCTACAGTAGGCCTCCAAATCTGAGAGATGCAAGATGTTTCTAAAGACAGAACATAACAAGTTGTATTCAATAATGGGTTGGAGGAGAAAATCAATTACACATGCCCTCCATAATAATGATAATAATAAAAGCTGACAGGGAGTGAAAAATAAATATTTACCCTTCCCGCCAGCACTATCTGAATACCAGGGCTGTGTAATCAGGCCATAGAGTCCACGTTGCATCCACAGAGACAAGCATCACATCCAAACATAGCCCGAGGAAAAGAGTTTCCGCTCCAGCAGAGCCCCCCAGCGAGGCCTTTCCTTTCACGGCTCGTCCCGCCCACAGAGCCTGACAGCCAAAAAAAACGCCTCTCTGTCTCGCCAAAGACTATCTATGAGCAGCCAGCCTCTTCTACCTGCCCTTTAACGATAAGAAAGCCAAGGAATCAGCCGCCTGCACCCAATTGGGTTTTGGAGTGTATAGGCTAATGTTCTCCACAGACCTTTTCTCCGATCTCAGAGGTCCGTTTGCTTCGGTGAGGGTTGGAACTGTGATGGATGAGCGGAACAGGGATGAGATGTTGGAGCCACCTCCTGTTTATAATGTCAATGTATTCCCAGGCAGGAGGGACACAGCTGACCAAGAAAAACACTCCCCTGCACAGGGCTGGAATGTACTGCTGATTTTACACAAATCCAAATCGTTGCCTTTTTGTCTTCAATTAGAAGATAGCAGTCACATCTGTATATACAAAAAAAAAACGGTCCATCCATCAGCTTGTACTCCACTAGGCATAATTTGTCACTCAGCCATTGTAAATTCCCCTGGTGTATTGTCCAGACTCTGTCCAGGAGAAGTCAGTGTGTCCGGGCAGCATCCAGGCCCGTGTCCCCGCTCGGAGCACTAATGGAACCGACCTTTATTCAGCACCTTCCTCATCAGTCTCCGTACGCCTGGCTCCCGCTGCCATTCACATGTGAATCGAGCACCGGTCTCCAGTTTGCCCTCGACATGCTGATCCCTCAATCACCGGCGGGAGTAGGAAAGGTTATTGGAGAGCACGCGTGTCCAATCACGAGGGGTGTGTGTGTGTTTACTGAGACATTTGTGACCACAACTTTTTATATGGGCCCGGGTTTATGCAGCGATTTTAGGAGGTAGTTGGAGCGAGTTGATGAGCAAGACAGCACGCCTTGTGGATTTGCAAAATGATCCGGGACAAGGGATTTGCCTTCAGGTAGTAGGAGCTGCATAAATCATCTGTCCTTCCACATCGCTCTCTCACAGTGACCTGCAGAGAGAGAAAGGTTAGGTTAAATGGATGAGAGAAAGGGTAACAGGAGCAGGAGAGGGATGTGTGGGATGCGTTAGTGAAAATAAAGATATCGTCAGCAGCGAGGCGACAAGGAAACTCTCATTAGCATAGCAACAAGCCTCTGATGTCTTATCGTGTTCCCGCGTATCGCCTGATTCACTTTACATCTCCGCTATCGCATTAACATAACACAAGCACTAATAAAGGGCTTTCAATAAAATCAACCCATGTGAGATACTCCAGCCTCTTTTTTTCCAGATAGAAGATTAACTTTTGCTATTCTTGTTGTTTTTGTGTACGTTATTACAGCAAAATGCTTGGTGGTATTTATTGTATGACACTTGTACAGCAACAGTGGTGCTGAAAGGGTCTTTACCATATCCATGAGCTTTGGTTGTGTGCAAAGCCTCTGGGAACTTGTAATGAAGACATGGATGGCCTGTCGCGTATCACAATATATTATCTATGTAATCTCTTCAGAGGAACACGTTGATCACTCTCCAAGGTTGCCTCAGTGAGAGATGCCACACTTGTACTATAACACAATGTCAGCAGAAATGCTCAATAATACCAGGCTTCAGTTCTGGATTAATAGAGGATCATTTATGTCATGCAGATAAAAGATCTTAAAGTATATAATTGCATAGACATTTTGTCCTATATTCCGCCTGACGGTTCAGAACATATTTGTGGAAGGAAAAGGGTACAGAGACAACATGTGTTTACAGCATGTGAGGGGTCATCAATCAACCAAATTATGAAAAGCCTATTAGAGTCAAATTTTAACATTTGGCTTGTTGGAATCACAAGATAACCTTTATCAATCAATTACTGATATGTTTGCCTTTATTAATAACCAATGTTTCTTAGTAAGTAAGTATATAATATTTAATATATATATATTCCTAAAACATATATTTATAGTTTCAAAGCCAATGCATTTGTTGTGGTGAAAATGAGTTTTCTTTGTCATCACGAACGTTTTACGCGACTAAAAAAAATAAAAAATCAAACCAATGAATAAATATAAAAGTGCCCCATCAAGACACGGCAGAGCTCACCGTGCAGAGTAAACACAGATGCTTCAGAGCCGGTCCGCATGCCACGCTGTCCCCTCTCCCCGCAGCTCTGCAACAATCTAGGTCGACCGATTGAAACTGCCGGTTGATCTCCTGCTCCCTCCAGCAGTAATCCAAGAAAAGAGATTGAATATTGATGAACATGCAGGGGTCACACAACTGATAGCTGTCCCCAGTCCCGTCCCAGACTGAGGAAAAAGAAAGTCCACAGAGATTAGTCCTGACAGGGCTGTGGATGGGGTTCTTCTCCTCCCTGTAATTCTTAACCCTCCATAGAGACAGGTTTGTGAACTCTCATCTCACTAACTCTCTGTTGAGCTCCCTCCGTGTCTAACTGTCTGGATGGGAGTGCAAACCATCACACTCATGGTATCTGTCTACATCCCGCTTTGCACTCCTCTCCCCTCTCTCTCCCTCCCTCTCTCTCTCTCTCTCTCTCTCTCTCTCTCTCTTACTGCGGAGGTTTGCAGTGCTCCCCCTCGTCCTGATTGGTGTTCTGTAATAGGCTTAACCCTTTCCTCTCCAGCGAGGGGAGGTATTTCCTTTTGTTCACACTCCATCCTCTCTTCCCTGACAGTTACTGTGACATCCCGCGTGGGGCTGTAGGGATTTGGGGGGGGAGCTTCTACAGTTCTACGCTTTTGCGTATGGAGCTTAGATGACACTGCGCTAAACACAACCTGCTGCAGAGTCAGACAGACAGACGGCACTTGAGGATGCAAAAAAACCCAGCGGAAAATACGAGAATGATGTCTTAACTAGTTTTGTCACTGTGTCGTGGACAAGTAATGTGTTTTTGCACAGCGGGGGGTAATGATGAGGGTGGAACATTTTTGTGTATTGATTTTGAACACATAATATATCACAATATGCGTGTTCAAGTGAGCGTGAGAGACAGCAAGGCTCACAGAGAAGATTCATTCTTGCAGCTATGAGTGGGAGAAATGGATTTTGCAGAATGGAATGAAGTCAGAAAAGAAGAGACAGAACATAGTGCCTTTCTGATTGATAGTTTCAATTAAGTTGCTCTATCAGATCATTAAGAGCTGGACCACACTCCATTTCATTGTCAAAGCTCATTTGTCAGGTGTAATTATTGACAAAGGGCATCATGGCTCCTGACAGCCTGCGGTAAGGAAAAGGGGGGAATTTGTCGCGTTGGCATGACGAACTGATGAACTAACGATTAAAGTCCACAGAAAACACAACAGGTGCAGTTATTCTGAAAGTGACAGCTCAATAATTGCACTTTGCAAGTGTCACACATTTGACCACATCCTAGTTTAGTTTTATCTCACCTGCACGTTGTCTAACTCTCCTGTCGTTTCAGATCCTCCCACATCATCAGCTGGTTCTCCTTGCCCCTCTCACCTTGCAGCACATCCCCTCATCAGCCACTCACCATTTAAGCCCGTCACAAACTCCCGAAAGAAACGTGCCTTCACACCTAGGTGTGATTTCTCTCTCTGGGTGAAGTCAAAGACGTCCTCTCCTGAATTGTTCCAAACTGACTGGTCAGTGTAAGGATAAGGCCGTAGGATCTCCAGATCAAGTTTTCCCAACTGACTCTGATCAGTGCAAGGTCTCCTCTAATCAATTTTTCCAATCGACCCGTGTCGATGGAGAGGTTGAAGTCCGCCTCTTCAAGTCAGCTTTCCGAATTGGCTTGCGTCGAGTACAGGATTGAAGATCTAGGCCTCTCCAACCCAAACCATTTTCTCGCTGCTCCAGAGAAGTCCGGCTGCCCTCACTTCCAGCCCAAGCAGCTCACCAAGAAGGAAAACATCTTCTTGGATGGATACAAGTTGTGTGTTACAAGTGCCCCCACAGCTTTTGTGCCACCAAGAAACCCAACAGTCCTCATCATCCCCCATCGATCCCCGCAACAAAGGACCGAGCGGACACAGAGTTAAACGAGACTGGAGGAAACTCAAACCCCATCAATGCACAGTAAGGCTAAGTCTGGGCAAGTTAATTCGCATGTGTCGTTATTTTTGTTGTATGTTTATGAACTGAGTGACGTGATTAACAGGGCGCTGTGTATCTTTTTAGGGTGGTGCCCCGTTATTTATTTTGTGAATTATCTTTGCGATTATTAATAATTCTATTGATGTCTGATTTAATTTCACACTAGCTATTAACCAACACCTTACCCATAGGTCGCGTCCAACAAATGGTGCCCAGCGTAAGACCGTTCCCAACAACTATTTGCTGCCTGCTCCTTTTTGGATTTGTTTGCCTGCCTTATTGCCATCCTGGTTCTGACCCATGCCTGTTCTCGTCTACAGACTCCCTGCCTGCCCCTCTGGATTTATTTGCCTGCTGACGGATCTACCGGTTTTGACCTTGCCTGAACTTTTGAGTACTTCTCTCGCTCATCGATGTCAGTCTTGCCATTGTCTTTCCATTGTGCACCAGTAACCGGTGCTTTATCTTATTTTCAAGGCATTTATAGTAACGTGTCAGTTACTTCATTTATTGAATGGTTTAAAATTCAATAATAAATGTATCATTTTAAATATATTTTTGTTCAAAGTTTAAGTGAGAAGCTGTACTTATGGACCCTGAAGAGTTGTCAACTTTTGTATTTTTATTTTGGGAACTAATTGCAATCTTACACCTTTCTTTTAGCTAAATGTTAACAGTATTGTCTCCACATTACGGTGTTGCCCTTAATTCACACAAGCTGTAAGCGCTATGATGGTGTTCCAGTTTACGTCGCTGACACTGTACCAATGCAGAACAAATCCGAGGTGATGAAGAAACTTCCAATAAATCCAACTTGCAATAAATTGGATAAACGCTAAATGGTCGTTACTATTCTTCCGAGCACTCAAAGCGCTTTGACGCTAAATGTCCTCATTAACCCTTTTCCCCCCACCAATGACGGGGGCTGCCATGCAAGGTGCCGCCTTCCCTCCAGGACAGACTAACACCCGTACAACATTCACACACACGAAGGCACAGCTACAGGAGCAATTTCCTCTGCCGATGAGACACAGTTGCCCTTGATCGTAAAGAGATACATGTTTCCCTTCCACTTGACACAGGAAGACCACCCCTGGTGGAAAGTGTACGTGTATATAAAAAGGCAGTGAGGACCGATCGACTGCCTTCTCGCAGGTCTTCAGGAGCCCTCCTTGCTCACAGAGGGGTTCACATGCTGCTGCAAAAACACTGCGTTCCCAAAACTTCAGAGTTCAATAGAATTACATAAATATTTAATTCACATAAATATTTCATCTGTTCCCAGACTCCTGTCTGAGTTACACTTCAGTTTTTCTCCACTTTCACTCGGAGTGCCGGTAAACACCCACGGATGTTTCTGCCGTTACTCAAATGTGTTTATTTGTATGCTAAACTACAAATACCCCCATCTTCAGCACTGGATGTGTGGTGTTTCTGTCAAAGGGGCCGTCTCATCTGCATGCCAAACATCAGCAGGCCGTATTTCGATAGAAGGGTGGCAGCCTGCAAACCCAGAGGACCCCCGCACACAGACTTTTATCTCCGCCCTGCAGCAGGCGTCCTGCACTTCCATTTGGTGCCACTGTGATTTGCTCCAGAACGGAGCTAGCTCAGCGCTGACTGTGACTGGTTTCAGATGTTGTAGCGGACTGCTGTCATTTGATCTATTTTCTAAATTGTTCTTTTAGTAGACCCTGAGGAACTTGTGGTCCAAACTCACATGGAGTCGGGTGCTCATACAGAAATGGAGAAAGAAAAATGAGGTATCTTGAGCTGCCCTAAAAGCTGCTGCTGGTGTTCCCCATTCTTTCTTCTTTCTCCGTTGAAATTTCATTAACTTCCCAAAGCATAACGCACCACAGCAAAGAGCCTCAGGGGATGTTGGACAAGATGGAGACTGAGTAGAAGATGGAGGGAGAAGGGTGGACCATATTCCAGGGTTCTCTGGGTTTGCTTGTAGTTTGTACCATAGAGCATTCAGATTTTTTTAATTGTGTGGTAGAATTTCCTCAAGAGAGGGTAATGAAACAGGAAAAACCTTGGAATGAAGGGGGCAACATTTATCAGAATAAATAATACATTGGGGAAAATAACCAGAGGCCAAAGGGTTTTAACCAAACTCAACATAGTGAAATTAATTCATTATAATATAAAGATTATCTGTTAAACAATTGATTGTTGAGTTATTATGAAATAAGAATTTTTCCATTCCTTACCTGTGAGGAATAGAACCCCCACACAATTCGGACATGGCATTCAACTATAATTGTTACCATGATGAACTTTGAACTGCATGCATGAACTGATCTTTATGCCGCTGCTCTGTTGCGTCTCTAGTTCAGGTCAGGTTTTAGACTACACGACAGGTGCATCGGGCAAGACGACAAGCTTGTTTAAGCTATGTTGTGTGCAAAGTCGACAAAAATTGTCACAGCTTTGTATCGTTTCCGATAAAAAAAAGAAAATACGTATATGCCTTTCACCTCACTTCAAAACAACATTTGGTTCTGTTACATTGACCCCAATTTCAATCTCAACAAGGAAGGATGTTCCATTGGGTGCGTCTACTTTGTTGACCGACTGTTTATGTACTATATATTGTGCGGCACGAAAGGAACTTGTGGAAAGTTTGTCCAAGGCTTTATTGGCATATAGTGGCCAATGTAATTGAGGCTGACTGAATTTCTGAAAGCTCAGGGCATAAGAATACATTGTATTGGTCATTTCATAAGATTATCCTTAGTTAGTCTTACCCTGCCAACTTTTTCAGCACCCTGATCACCAGTAATTTAGTGTAGCACTAAAATTGATGGCAGCTTTTTTGCTGCAATATTCTTTGTTTCTGTCGTTCAAGGGTTACTTATTGTCTTAACTCCACAGCTATTATTCAAATGTTGTAATCTCCCTCTTTCTCTTACTTTTCTTGGTTGCACACTCTCTCTCTCTCTCTCTCTCTCTCTCTCTCTCTCTTTAATCGCTCGTCCTTCACTCTGTTTTGGTTAGATGTACGCTTTGTGTTCTGCCATTGATTTACAGTCCTGGTGCTGTCGCGGCTCAGTAAGGTTAGAGCCATAAAGTGGAGCAAGGTGTAGTCTGCCTGTTTAACCCTGACCATGGGGTTAGAGACTATAAGTGCAGCCTCTTCACTCCTTACCGAGAACCTACACACACACACACACACACACACACACACACACACAGACACGCTCGCTTGGGACAGAATTCCTTCTCTGTTTCTTGCGGTACAGTAACTCCCTCGCTGTCCTCTGTCACGGACAAGAACAGCTCCTTTTCCATCAGCCCCTCAGAAGTCGGCCACTTCCTGTCACGGCGCAACATCTGTTTACGTTAGTCATGTCAAAGGTCACCTACTGAGGCGTGGGAACGCAAGGCAGTGCATGGGGGACCCCACACTCAGAGGGAGGTGCGAGTGCAGCGGAAGGCTGAATCT